GTTTTTTTTTTGAATTGTGTAAAAGCGCGTGTTTGCCATGGCGTATACTTGATGTGGCCGCAAGCAGCAACGATTGCGTATACGCCTAGTGTGCCTCTCTCTGTGTGTGTGTGTGTGTGTGTGTGTGTGCGAGAATGTGTGTCTGTGCTTCTTGTGAGTGTGCGTCACACACAACGTGTTACGCAGAGTAACCCCTCGGACCCCCCCTCGTAAGCCCCTCGTTGAAAAGTCTTGGTTTGTTGTTTAGACCAAAGTGCTCGGAAAAGTAGGCAACGAAAATGGTTACAACAAATTGCAGGACACACACGCACACACAGACGACAACACACTCACACACACACACACATTTATACACTTTTATTTGGGATATAAGGAGGGTAAAGAAGAAGAAGAAGAAGCAAAAGCAGAAGTTGACTATGTGTGTGCCGCGGACTTTCGATTTTTCGTGACTCGGTTTTCTTGTATATGTTCTCGAGTGTCCTTTGTTGTTTCCTCTTTCTGTTTTTGGTTGGTTTTGTTGGCGTTGTTGTTGTTACTGTTGGCGATGTCGCCCCGCTTTTGCCCCTCTTGGCCCTCATACCACCCGTAACCCCTACGAACTCCACTCTTTGTGGATTTCGCCTGCTGTTTAGGTTATGTGTATCTGGCATGTCCTTTTTGCCAGCCTTTTCCTTTTTGGAGCGCGCATATGCGCTAGCACGAACCTAAAACGAAACGAAACTCAACACAACGCAACACAACACACAACACAATTCAACTTAACTCGCCCCGAAAATCAACAGAGAACAAAAAAAAAAAAAAAAAGAATGTAGAAGAGAGAAAGAGAGGAGGAGTGGCCAGGCGAGGATTTGGCTAGAAGCGGACATGGGGCATGCTGGAAACTCAGTCAGTCAGCCAGTCAGTCAGTCAGTTGGGCGCCTCTTTGCTAACTGGGTACAGCTAAAAGCCTCATCCTGCTTTTGCTTTTCCCTTTGCCTTTGCCTTTGCTTTTGCTGTGCTTTTTCCTTGCTCGAATTCGAGTCGATTCGAGTCGCGCGTGTGCCATATCGCGTTTCTGTTTCGTGCTGTGCGCAAAAAGAGCCGAGGCCCAATATGGCTCGGTGGACTGGGTACTCAAAACTAGTGGGTTCAGGGGACTGGGTACCGGGTTACCGAAGACTGAGGACGAGGCCACGAGGAGCCCTCCAAAGAGCTAAAAAAAAAAGAGAGAGCGCACTCAAAGCGACACAGAGAGAGAGAGAGAGAGAGAGAGGTAGAAAATTAGAGAGCGTGAGCCAGAGTCTCTGGCGTAAAAGGGACAAGGGTGTCTCAAATTGCCTTGGTTTGGCTAAAAAAAAAAACGGAAAAAAATACAAAATTGTGCAACGCTTTAGAAGTTTGAAGTTGATGTCTAGTGAAAAATGTATGGCCTTATATTATGTACTTAGCTATATATATATATATATAGAAACCCTATATATCAAGACACAGCATTATAGGCAGGCATGACTGCCAGTTAATTGCCTGAAAATCGGATAATTGTAATTGTTCATATATGATTTACAACAGCCATTAATGGCAGTTATTGTCACGAAAGTGCTGTCATGAAACCTGAAAATGATTATAGTCCCTTCGAAGGTTTATTAGTTAGAAAATTAACTTTTAAGGATTATTTTTTGGCTTTAGGTTGTTGAAAGTGATTTAAGATAGCTATTCAAAAGCTAATAAATACCTTAAACATCAATGTTTTGAGGTTACTATGAAGCTAGTTAGTCATATGTATTTTGTTTTTAAAAGTAATTTGAATTATCTTTGATTTAGATACTCGTATATTTAGATTTGGATATAGCAGCATCTTAAGGCTGAAATTTGGTTAATTTCAAGTTTTTTGTTACTAACTATGACTATCTTAACTAGCAGTTATGTTTAAAATCAATAAATAAACAGTTTGAATATAGTTTTAGGAGATTACCCAGAGGTATTCTGTGCTTAAAATATATATATATATTTTAATAATTATTTAAAAGCTAGACTTGTCAAGAATAATGCAGAAGAATAGCTTGCCAAATTATGTAAAAGAACTGAAAGAATGAAAGCATTTCTTCTACATATTTTTAGCAATTAATATTAGCTTATTTTTTTCTTATTTTTTTAGAATTACTTTTAACAAAGTTCTCTGCCTTCCCAAATCGTTCGTTTTTCTTTCTCCTTTTATAAGCTTATGTGCAAAGTTTTCCGAGAACTTCTAAGTAGCTCGTTGAAAACGAAAGGACACGCAATTGTGGCCCATAATCGAAAGCGAAAATGTTCCTTTCTTTGGCCAAAATCTATAAACTTTCGACGCACTACCAACTGTCATTCGTGACTGTGTGACTGTGTGTTTGTTTCGCGACTTTTGGGCGCTAAAAAAAAAACAAAAGAAGCAAAAAAAGTAGAAAGAAGTAGCAGCATTGGGACCGGTCGAAAATGGGGCTACGATAACTTTGTGGCTCGGCCAAGGCCCAGCGGGTTAGACCGGGGCCCATGGCGATTCGATTCGGTTAAGCATTCTCACTTGCCCACCTTTGCCTATGATTGCCAGTTCTCGTCCTGGGGCGAAGGCGCCACAGGACCCCCATCCCATGCCAAAACCATGAAACACCAGCAGCAGCAGCAGCAGCAGCAGTCACTGTTCCATCTACCCTCGGGCTGTGCGTGTTCAATTGGTTTTCCTTTCATTGTTCAGTGTTTGCTAGGCTAGCCCCCGCTCTTGTTTGGTTTTCGGTGTAAAAAATTTACATAACCCAAATTGCCGCATAAATAAATTATTAAATACGTGACGTGCAAATGGTCAAAGACCAGGAGAGACCGAGAGACCCAGTCGAGCAAAGCAAACAGAAACTCAAATGCCATGTGCTGTGCAGTTCTCTGTGCTATTGTGCGAATCCCCCAGGGCTTGCAATCAGGACGCAATCCAATAAGGAGATTGTGTTCTCGTTCTCGTTCTCGTTCTCGTTCTCGGAACTATTGCCCATATGTGACCTGCGACAAATCGAATGTCGAATGCGGAGATCCTCACTGGAAATTCAATTAGGAACCAAGGCCACGGCTATTTGCTATGATTTGCTAGTTTTTCTTTATTCTCTTTTTTTTTGGGAAATGATCGAAGAGATTTTTGTAATTAAAGTAGAATTGTTAGTTCTTTGCATAAATTAAGTCAGAAATAGTACAAGGATATAAATCCCATTATTTAAGTTTAAAACGTTCCATGTGAATTGGGTGAGACGTTGGCAAATGTCCCTTTTCCCAGATCCTATAATTTCGATAATAGCTCCACGATTTCTCGACTCCCAACAATTACTCTATTGACCTGATTCTACTCAAGAACCGCAAAATACTATAAATTATAGCCATCAAAGGGATGATTATAAACTGTATGGATAGAAAATCTTATGGTTAGAAAACTCAAATAAGGACTCTATAAGGACTACTATTTGACCACTGAAAATTCCCCTACTAGTGACCCCAATCCAGTTAACATATACACTCACACTCACACTCATTCACTCTATTGTTCCCAATTTGTTTCGTACATATGTAGTATTTATAAGGACATTAGAAACGCAGTGTGTGTGCTAGCTGGTGACGATTTGGTGACCCCGCCACAACTTGAATGGATAAAGTTTGGATCGATTGGTTGGTTGGTTGGTTGGTTGGCTGTACAAAATGCTGTCCGAACCCCCTCCTGAAAAGCGGGTCAGCAGCATGATTTGTGATTATAACCAGTGTTCCATATTCGTGGCTCATAAGTTATGAACGCAGTCGGTCTTGACCAGTCCAACTGGTGCCAAATGTCCACCGAAACGACGAAAGAAAAAAAAAAAGAAACACAAAACTAATGGCCCACTGTTGCAGTTTGAGTTTTGGGTAGGCAAAGCTAGTAGGAAAGCAGTGGAAAATCGAGAAAGGCATCGGCTTTATGACCTAAAAATAGAATAAGTCTCTCTCTTAAAAAAAAAAAAAAGAAAAAGACGAAAAACGACAGCGAATAGCGTTAGGCGAAAGGATAAGCGGCGAAAAAGGGGTGGTGTGGAGTAGCACAACAAAACCTGTGTTGACAACAACTTAAGTTTTCGGGGTGGTGTATATGCCATAAGGCGAAAGGACCTCACACATATACTAATGCTGCTCCTTTTTACGGCAAATTCGAGTAAAAGGAAGTTGCGGCGAAGCAGACAGCTGCATTTGTCGCTCCAAAAAATATAAATGGAGTTTTAGCCAGAGAGTCAGGACTCTCGTAGCTCGTTGTTCGGTGTTCAGTACTCAGTGCTCGACGTTTTCCTACCCCCCCCCAATATAACCTTTTGTGTCCTTTGTAGCCTGCTCTGCGTTTCACGTGCGCGCGAACATTGCATAAACATAAACAACATCGCGACTGGCAGCTCTGAAGCTCTGCTCTGCATACCAAGTTCTTTTTTTTTTACTGTGTAATATCCAGTGAGATATTATAGGCAGTGTGACCAGTAATTTTTTTTGTTCAAGTGTAAAAAGTGCAAGACATAAAGTGTGTGTGTGAAAGAAAAAACCTAAGAAATATATACAAACGATATTTACATATATATATAATATATAAAACAAAATGTTTAAAAATATAAAAATTGAAAAATAAACAGAAAATAGAGTACACTCAGAAATATTTCGAATAAAAAGGCAATAATAATATTTATTGACTGAACAGTTTTCGTGTTGCTTTACTTACTGAATTACTGAAATTACTGAAAATTCGTCCTTCCGATATATAGATATTTTGTTCTCCTTTTATGGATGAGTTTTCCATTTTTTTTTCAAATTTTCCTTTCGAGTTTCAACAACTTGTTCGCTTTTCCGCAGGCGACGCTGGCGAAATTGAAACTAAAACCGCAACAGAAACCACAAATAATAATAATAATATTAGCCATAATATAGCAACAGTTAAAAACACAACCAAAATAGTCAAAAAGAAATTACAAAATAATAATAATAATAATAATAAACCGTAACAGCTCTGGGAACAAAACGCAACGTCGTTTGATGAAAATTTTTGGCAACACGTCGCGTCGTCTTGGTTGTTGTTAACCACATCCTGCTAACGCCAAATAAAAAACACAAAATATATATATATATATAAATAAAACTCAACTTTCAATAATAATACAGATTAAACAAAACAAAACAAAACCAACAAAAAAAGCAAAGAAATCTAAAAAAAGTAAAGAAAACACAAAAAAAAAACAAAACAAAATAAACAACAAATTCATCTTCTACTTGTTCTACCGCTTCAACTTTATTCGTCTTCGTCTCCGTAATAAATATATTTAAAAAAAATATACATATATATGTATATATATATATATCTATATATATATATCTATATATGTGTGTGAGTGCGTCGCGTGTGTGTTGGTGCCTGTAAATGTGTGAGCCACAACAACAACAGCAGCAGCCAGAGCCTAAGCAACAACCACAACAACAGTAGTTAACAGCAGCAACAATTCTTAGAAGCAACAACAACAACAACAATACAAGCAAGCACCACAACAACAACAACAACAGCAACAGCAAAAACAACAACAACAACCACAATAGCAACAACAATAATAAGATCAGCGGATAGAGCGAGCAAGGCAAGCACAACATCGATTGACATCGATTAACGGTAAGTTATCGATAGAAAAATTTGACAAAATCAATTTATTTTGTTTTTATAAAATGTATGTATTAATTTATTTCATTTAATAATTTAAACAAAAATTATGATCTTAATCCATTAAGATCGTTAAGGTTCGACTTTTGCCGAACTTTTCTTTATGCACTTTTTGTTTATTTTTTATTAAAAATTTTAACAATACAAAGATTTCTATATTTCTGGGTTAGACAATTTGTCTACCCTAACCTAGGCTTATAAAGTTTCAGTAAAAATTTGATTTATTTTATGTGAAATTTTTTGAAAAATTAAGAAACACATAAGGAGGCTAAAGGGTTTTTATTTAATTTTCAAGAAGTCTTTAAGTCTTGGCATAGTTCAGTTCTCACTTCAAAGAAGTGTTTCTAAACAAATTTTAGTAAGAAGAATCCTCTTAAAATATCAAATCCTGGTGGAATAAACTTATTTAAGAGGAATTCAAGATAGCCCAAGAGCTTTCAGAGCCTTTTTAGTAACTTTTTCCTATTATTGGTTATTTAATATAGCATACTTAAAAGGGCAACGGTTAGTTAATAATATAGCATACTTAAAAGGGCAACGTTTAGCTATAAAAATCAATTAGACCTGGTATATTGTTTATTCTATGATTTCAATGTCTAAATAAGATAAATACAAGTGTGAACTGAGTTACTAACTGGGCGACTTGATGAACTTGGCTTGATTATGTCATGCCTTCTTGGTGAAAATCCCAGTTAACCAGGCCCGACCTCAAGACTATCAATGGGGTATCTGCGCCCCTTTTTCAGTTCCTTTCTGCTCTGTTCTGTTCTGTTCTGTTCTGTTCGGTTCTGTTCCGCCCACTGGCACGCCCCTTGCTTTTGGGCTACAACCTTTTGCTGGCTTTTGGAGGGCAAACTTTCAGCTGCCAACAAAGAAGAAAAAAAAAACATGAAATAATAGAAAAGAAGGAGGGGCAAGGGGGGGAGGCGGAGTGTGGTGTATCCAAAGGAATTCCTTTGCTCACGCACACACACACACACACACACATGTGTAGAAAGGATATTCGTTAAGAGAAGGAAACCGAAAAATGTATTGTTGTAGTCCGCGTTTGTTGGCGGCAACAAAAAGAAAAAAAAAAGAACGTAATGAAAGAGCAAGCACATCCTCTCTCTCGGCGCAGGTGAGAGTATCCTTGTTCGTCCTGGCGCTCGTTTTCTCACTGCCTCGTCGTTTCGTTTGCGCTCTCTCTCTCTCTCTCTCGTTAGCCCCATTTTGCTCTCCCATGCAAAATTCATTGACTAACAACATGCAAACTTCGTTCAGTTTTTTGTAGCTGTTTGTTTTATTCATTTTTTGTTCGTTGCTTTTTTTTTTTTAGTTAGTTTCTTGAATTTTGTTCAACAATTAATAGGCAAATGGGAAATATTATATTTTTCAAATCGATACTTTGATTTGCCTGCAAACAGGCTGGCACTTTATTTTTCTCTGCCCTTTGTTGCTTGGCCTGTCATGTGTTTGGCTTTGTCATTTGCATATTGACACAAATTCCGGTCTGGTTTTTGGGTTTCTATATATATATATATTTTTTTTTTCTGCTGTTTTTCGCATGACTCATCATCAGCGCCAGTGACTGGCCAAAAATTAATTCGGCAAACAAGAATTTTGCGAGTGTCATGAATGAAACAGACACACATAAATATATGCTCATATTGGCACATCACTTGTGCTTCTTTCTCAGTGTGTGTGTTTGTGTTTGTGTGGGTACGCTCTTCTATGCTTTATGCAGTGTGCTAGTGTGTGTGTCTGTGTGGCGAAATATCGAACTGACCTACTTTTATGCTCGATACACACACACACACACACATACACATAAACACACGCAGGCAGTCAGGCAGGCGGATTGGCAAATGGAAAAAGAGTGCTTTGACCTTAGTGGAGGCTGCTTATATAAGACCAATATCCGAATACCACAGGACAAGACCTAACTGAAACTAGCTTAGAGTGAGATCTGTTACCATATCATCAAAGAATCTAAAAACAAATTCTTTTAAGATTTAAAAATAACTTAGGAAGCCTTAAATTTACTGCCAGAGAGAGCAATACTTCATAATAAAAACAAATTCAGCAGAAATAACTGAAAAAAAAGGGAAAAGCAAGTGAAGTAAAAAATCAAATTAAGATCTTCTTAAATTAAAAATTCTGCACATGCCACTGTAAACAATACACACACACACACACACGTATGTATATGGTGTATGTGCGTGTGTGTTTTTGTTTTTTATTGATTGGCCATTGTTTTTTTTCTGCATTTTACTTTTGATTGCATTTCATTTAATGCGAATTGCCGTCTGCGATAATCCAATTAGTCAGCTGTTGAGGTTTCCATTACGATTTCGACACAGCCAACCCAGGGATCAATGTGCTGGCCAGCATTTGGTCTTAACTTGGCTCTATAACCATTAACTTAAGCATTAACTAATGGCCAAAAAAAAATCTACTTTCAGCATCGTGCTAAGCGGCGGGCGCTAATCGAACATGGCGCCTCGGATATAGTTGTAGCTTTAATGTAGCAGGCGACATCCATGTGCCTCATGTAAGTATATCCCATTAATATATATATAATCGTATACATCCATTAAGGTAGTTGTAAGTCAGCTAAAATTATGTTTAATCTGAGTTAAGAAAGGAATTAAGTTGCTTGTTGAATTATTTCAATACAGTTTGTACATTGGTCAAGCACTTGATGTTTGAATTGAATTAGAAATCGATATTGATTAAGGTCAATCGAAGAAAATACAAAGTTTTATATATATATTAATATGTTATTACAATTTTCAGGCCTTGGAAATCTAAGGCTCTCATCGTTGGCCGCATAGACAATGACAGAAGATTCCGACTCGATATCTGAGGAAGAACGCAGTTTGTTCCGTCCCTTTACCCGCGAATCATTGGTGCAAATCGAACAACGCATTGCCGCTGAACATGAAAAGCAGAAGGAGCTGGAAAGAAAGAGAGCCGAGGGAGAGGTGGTAATTATTTCTAGCTGAATGTCGATAGCTTATTCAATTTTGTGTGCCTACTCTACTACTACTACTACTACTACTACTATTTCTGTATCTGTATCTGTATCCGTATATGTATCTCTCTCTCTCTTCGTCTAAGTGAATTGACTTCCAATTGAGATCGAATGCCAAAATGTTCGGTCCTGATCACTGATCGATAAGCAAATGAGTTAATCAATCAAGATCGATCAGTGATCAGCGTTAACCGATTGCCGCTACTGTGCGCTTTTGTTCGTGCTTCAACTTAAGCCTGAACGTCTATTTTACATATAATATATAATAATAATACTAACAATAATACTCAAAATATGTTCTACTAACTATAACCCCATACAAAAACATACATATATCTAACCGAAAAAAGTTCAACATCAACAACTACAACAACAACAACAACAACATAACCAACCATTCAACTCACAAGCAGTCATACGTATCTGTATATCGAATGCGTCTGTGTCTAAACAGTTCTCCTTTTTATCGCCATATATACTCGTATATCCCCCTCTGTTTGTCATTGTCAGTTAATCTTCAATCTCATCTCAGCCTCTGTAAATGCAGCTATCTCAACCATTTTATCCATCTGTTCATATATCTCAGAGTCATTATATCATATAAACTCCACTGTGCTTGACCCCTCTGCCATCCAAACGTAAACCCCCGCCCCTCACAAAATAAAAGCAGATCTTTTCTCAATCTGCCCCAAAATGGACCTCCTCCGTTATCTCAACTAACCCTTGCTCTATCATTTCACCTAAATCTTCGTAAAGTCGTAAATGTTTCGTAAATCGTAGATAAAAAACTTCATCCTAACTGAAATCAAAAAAAAAAAAGAACCCCAGCATAAATCCACCAATTTTCATTACGATTTTAAGTTTTTTGTGGTTAATTCCTTTTAATTTCGAACAAAATTCCAAAACATAAAAGTGTCTAAAAGAAATAGTAAAGTGATTTATGTTTTTAATATTTGGTTGTGTGTACTCGTATTTTGTATTCAGCATTAATGAAAAAATTTCCCCCTTACCACCCATCCAGCCAAAAACCCCAAAATATATGCTCTTTGTACGTACCGATATCGTAACGTATCTGTAAAATTTCTTTCCTGCCATAATCGTTGTATGTTTGTTCGTTTGTTGGTTTGTTTAATTGTTTTTATCTATTTGAGAGTAAGAAAACTGTGTATTCTTGTAACCCATTGGCTTCGTAATATGTTCTAATGTGTATCCTAATCGATTACCTAATCAACTTGTTTTTGTTTTTGTTTATTTTTGTTGTATTATTGCGTAAAACCCATATATCATTTTCAATGCCAGCAACTCTTAACATTTATTAAATTGTCGTATCGTTATCGTATTGTACTAGTCGAAGGCTACCAATTTTTTAAGTTTCTAATTTTATTTTGATTTAAATTTTCGTTTTCTTTCGATTTGATTTCAACGAGCGACTTGGGTATACAAATATATATATATATATAGATAAATCCCAGGTCAAGTCTACGTCCATGTCCATGACCCACCATGTCCTCCTCGTCTCAGCACACACTGCACACACACACACACACACCTTTTAGCAGACCTCCAGGTATCGTTCTGTAAATAGCCGAATCGCTTGTGAATATCAAAACTTGATAACTGTGTCCATTTGCCAATCATTAGTGTCAGTATTCAGTTTCCAAATCAGACCATTAACAATCGAATCATCAACAATCTCGTGTTCATTTTATGGAGAAAATCTTTGGAGAGAATTTTAAAAGCCAATATTGAGACTTGCTAATAAATGGAGTCATTAAACTGCCTAATAAACGGTCCAGAATTACAGAGATCCAAAATCATGCTATGAAGCCAGAAATATACTGGATTGTATATAACGCTGACAAACCCAAAGATAAGACATAAAGCTATATGATATAAAACACTTAACTAAGACTTAAAGGCCACTAGCCAAACAAAAAGCTAACTGCTATACAACAGCTAGTAAAGAAGGATCTTTGATCTTAAAACTCTGGAAAACAAGGAAAATCTATAGCTAATTCTCGGATCCATCAGAACAAAAAGCTCAATCATAGCTCTCTGATATATAATCTTGTACAAAACCATCAAAGCGCATTGTCATAAGCCACATACACATAGACAAGCAACGACTTAACCCATGCGCACCCCAATAAACTTTGAACTTTCAACTTTCTGTCTCTATAACTTCGCCTCTAACTCTCTGTCTCTATTGTCCCGCCTCCAACGATATCTCCCATTCACTCTGTAAAAGACACCCAGTCACAGATACAGACACAACCACACTAGATATAGAAATCAATCAATCAGATCATCGAGAAACATTAATCATGATCTATATAAAACCATTGCGAAGATGCGCAAAATATCAAATATCAAAGGGTTTAGCTGATATCGATTGTCGATATCCCATATATCCCATATATATGTATAACCCCCCTTTCCTCCCCCCCCCCTGACATAATGCTGAAAACTGCTCGCCTACATAACCACTTTCTACCGTTTGTTTTTTCTTTCGTGTACTTTTCTTCCGTTTCATTTACAACTTTCTCTCTACTTTTTTGAACGCTCTCTCTCAACGAAACTTTTGCGCGCTGCTGTCTGGACCAAAAAAATGAATATAAAAATGATTATAAATGAATAAAACAAAAACAAAAACCATCAATAATGAATGACAAATGCGAATTCGGCGCTTGCATAATGCAATCAAACAAAATTGCGAAAAAAAAAACAAAAATCAAATCGAACATGAACTTTTCTCTACTCCTACTACGCTACTTTTTACTTGAACTTGATATAATGCTCGTAATGAATGCCCTAAACCAAATACCAAATCCAAATCTTCTTTCAGCCGCAATATGGTCGCAAGAAAAAACAAAAAGAAGTAAGATTTTGCTCAGAAAAACTAAAAAACAAAACAGAAAACACAACAAAATAAGAAAAAAAAAAAATATATGAAACACCCACACCAATTTCCCCCCGAACCACTACCCCCCCGACCCCACACATACACACACACACCTTGAGAGAGAATCTCAATCTCAATCTGAATCGAAGGAAAAGTTTTATGATTTTACCTTTTTCGTGCCGTTTCTTTGTTCTTTTTTTTTTTTTGAGTTAAGACTTTATTGCCACAAATCGTTTTCCTTTAGCCGAACAATTTTCCGTTGCCATTTTCCGTTGTTGGTTCCTCGTTTTCTTTGTGCAACTTTTCTGCTGCAACTAACCAATCAAGCCAGCCAATCCACGCCACTTAGCTCAGTTTGATCCAGACCCCACACTGGTGTGCCCCCAGACTCAATATATATAATATATATATATATATCTCGTTCCCAGTATCTACTACTTTACATACGTGAATATATATATATATATATATATATATCTTTGTATTTGATCCTTAAATGTAGCCCTCGTACGTAAGCTTGTATCTATGTATATCGTAAATTCGTACTATATCTTTGCCGTTCTATAACTTTCCCACTGCCCCGGGCCGCTTAATGCAAGAAAAAAGAAAATAATATTATAAAAACCCTAAGCTCCACCTTTAAATAGCCAACAAATTTATACAAAAAAATGCAGCTGGAAATATGCTTTTAACTGTTTCGCTTTTCTCAGCCTACATAAGCTTCAGATCCTTGCTGAGGTGTGGTATTATAGTCAATCTGATCTGACAGTTAAACTTCATCTTATTGTGAAGAATTTTTCCGATTTTTTTTTTAACTTCTTCTTATTAGAGTTTAAGTCTGAAATGTCTAAGTCCTTCTAACCTTCACTAAATCTTCCAACTAACTAAAGTTTCTTATGAGAACAACCTTTACCTATACCTCGCAAGGACCTCTAATGACTTCGGCTAGCCGTTGCGAAGACCACAAGTTTTTCTTATATTTTATATCTATTGCTGTTAAATATAATGCTTCAGGTTATAAGTGTGTATTATAAATATCTTCCCTTTGTCATTTGCCTTTTGCCATTTGGCATTGCCATAGTTATTGTTACAACACATTGCTGGCCCAGCCGCCGGGGGCTTCAATTACTTATCAAGGTGGAGTCCCCCGAATTGACTGTGTGCCTGTGCCTAGCTAGTGGCTAAGGAGCTTAGCAAATGTCCTGATGGTGGCCCCAAGGCAGGTACCAAAAGAACAGCTAACAAACATGGGCTGGCTTGGGTGCATCATCGACAAGTATTAATGGCAAATCAAGGGTTCCCTGACCCCCCCCAAAAAAAATATAAAAACCAAAACAGAGTACCCCCCGTAACTATATGTAACCGTAAATGTATTTACTATATATATTTATATATATATGTGTTTTTTTTTTGCCAACTAATATACTTGAGTAATTTGTGTGCGTATGTGTAATATTTGTTGTTCTCAATGTGAGCAGATGTAAGACATATATAGATATCCTATATATATCCCTTATATATTTATAAACACACACAAAACCCACCCGATCCAGCTCTGCATCCCCGTGATAGGTGAAAGTAGAAACTAGGTTTTTAGGAAGGCTAGAAGCTCGTTTCTTTTGACCATACTATGCAGATGTCTGATGATTTTCAAAGGCGGCGAGCAATCCGCAAAGATTTTCCTAAAGAGCAAATTTTTGCATTGCCCCGCAAACGGACCAACCAACCAACATTTAAAAAAATCAAAAAACATACAAATTCCGACCTATAGAAACGATTACATAAAAACCAATAAAGAACGAGAAACTATATATATATATGGGAGCGCAGGAGAAGTCAAAGGCAAACGAACAAACAGATGAGTCACCGAGTGGCCAGCGTACTGTAAGTTGTGGGAGGTGAATCGAGTAAGTGCCAGACAAAGTATCTCATCCAAGGTTAGCCACAGCCCGACCGATTCCTTCGGTTTTATATCGAAGCTAGGGTCACAAAAACCTTCAACATATTGCTGGGAAAACCCAAAATCCAACCAAATCAGAAGAACTCTCTTTCCGAGCATGTCCAAGGCAATCCAATCTACCATAAACCAAAATCCAACCTAACCCTAACATTCTAGCAATATCTTGAAGCTTGGCCTTTATTGTTAATTATAATTCCTAGTGTTAGATGAACATCATTAAGAGGTTTATCAGCTTCGGTTCCGTTTCGGTTTGAACTATCATTTGTAGTTGGCTTCAGACAAAAACTGTAGAATCTCCTGAATTCGAAAACCAGCAACCCAACCAAAAAAAAAAATACCATTCCCCACAAAAAAAAGAAAAGAAACCACCTGCTTATCTCTCTGTAAAGGTGTGCCTGGGTGTATGTGTACATAAATGCGTGAAAGTGCGTGTGCCTAGGAGTGTGCATGTCTTTGTAGTTGACGTTGCATGCCGCATGAGAAACTTTTTCTCTCTTAGCTACTTTTTCCAATACCTTTAGTTTTTCCAACTTCCTCGCAACGAATCCTGTTTCTTTCCCTGCAAATTGGAATCGTTACGTATTTAGGCAACAACCAACCAAAGTCCTAAATTGTCCTTTTTTAGTTTTGAAATATCTTTTTCTGTGCAAAAATTTCTTACCGAAGGCTAACCTCTTTTGATCTCGAACTTAACTAGACTCCTATCCGATATCCTAGCTTTCCTTACATCCCTTAGACGTTCCTTCCTTTAGCTTACTAATATGAAATTCCATTTCCAAAGCTAACCACTGCTTAAACTAACTTTAGCTAACTCCTAACCTAACCTCATCTCGTCATTGCGTTCGCCGAATGCGTCATAAATTTGTAATCAGTACGCGGACAGCGAAAGCGCGAGGACGACTTATGTCCGGTTAAAACCGGCTGCCATATATCTGCCTCTCTTTCTGGCAACTTTGCGGCTTGCCTTTATATTAGTTTAAATATAGACTCGAGTTGGCTGTTTAAAGAGGCTCGAACCGCCCATCGAACCACCAACTCCCTGGCCGTATCCGTGTCCGTGTCCGGGTTTTGGTTTTGGTGTCGTGGTGAGTGCCGCAATTGCGTCAAAGCCTCGGCTCCAGAAACACACACACACACACACATACATACACACTTAAACATTCTTACACACATACAGACACACATATATATATACAGAGACAATCTAATTGTCACGCCAAGCCAACTATTATGGAATTTTTCCTTTTTCCTTTAGTTTTTTTTCCCCTTCTTTCTTTTTGTGGCTCACTCTCTCGCTCTCCCTTTCTGGCCTTCTTTCTTTCTCTTTGCCATATACTACTCCTCGTTTCTCCAATGTTCGTGTACCTACATACATACGTATATATAGTATAGTGGGTCGTACTTATATAGTATCGTATTGTATGATATAGTATAGTTTATATGTGGTATATATATATATATATATATGGCCAGAGCGAGAGGGTGAATCGAACGATACGTTTCATAAAGTGACGTTAGAGTTTTTGTGCTTTTGGCTCTGAGCTCTGAGCTGTGAGCTGTGAGCTGTGAGCTCTTTAAATTTGCTTTTGGCATTGCACGTGTCCGTGTGTCCGTGGAAAGTAAAAACAGTACATTTTCAGTACCGACTTCTACCCCATCCGAACTGAAATCGATAGGGAGGCGGATAGATTTGGTATGGGAATATAGGGATAGAACTCATACTCACTCGTAGTATATGGTGTATGGTGTATGGGGTATTGGAACACCCAAGAACCCAAGGCAAGTCGTCGTCACTGGGCCGAAATATTGTCATACAATATGCATGGCGGGGCAATTAAAAGTTGCCAGAACATGCAAGAATAATGTTTGTCTGCCCAATCATAAAATATTCCAAAAAAAAGCAAAACAAAAAATGAAACACAATATGTCGGCTCGGTGACATTGAGTTTTCCCTCTTTATCCACATTCCTGCTTGTGATCCAACGATTATCCACCATTTTCCTAACCTACCAATCTATGAATACAATATATAGTTATAGCCTAGTGATTGCACATTGTAGCTAATCGTTTACCAACACTGGACACGTTATTTTTAGTTTCGAACTCTTATTAGAAAAGGGCATGCCACATATTTACACACACACAAACACACATGGAAAAGTACCTTGTCCAACACTGGTTACCTTAGTTTCCTTTTCCGTTTACCATAAGCATTTCCGTTTCCGTTTTTTTTTTAGTTTTCCACCTTATAAACTCATATTGTTTCCCTTCCGTTTCTTTGAACCTAAAAAGAAAAGAAAAAAAATGCTGAAAAGCTAATGATGAAGCGCCCAAAAATTAAGGTGCAACCCAGAATATTGGTCATAATCGACTTGGTGTTACTTTTGCATACCAAAAGAATCTGCTGAGAACCCCCTCCGACCCTTAACTGTCTCTCTCTCCCATCCTTTTGCTTTCACTATCAACCTGTATATATATATAATACTTAAAAGTTATATATAATCGATATATTCTCGCCAGATACCCATATATGTATATGTGTATAGCAAAAAAAATAATCTCTGATATGCAAAACTGAAACCATCACGAAATTCGAATTGAATCCGAAAAGAAAGCGCTTGAAATTGATGTTGATTTGTGTGTGCCGCTCACCTTCTGGCCTTTTATGATTTTAACGATACTTTCGATTTCGTTTTTTAAGTTCCCAAACCGGTCTCAGATATGCCGTGTGATTTGTTTTTTTAGTTAGTGCGTTTTATTATTATCTAACTTATTGCTAATCTATATTTTTGCTTCAAATCGTTCTATTCTCGCCGCAATCAAACGCTTATGACAAAAATGACAACACAGATCCGATATGATGACGAGGACGAGGATGAAGGTCCACAACCGGATCCTACACTTGAACAGGGTGTGCCAATACCTGTTCGATTGCAGGGCAGCTTCCCGCCGGAATTGGCCTCCACTCCTCTCGAGGATATCGATCCCTACTACAGCAATGTACTGGTAAGTGATCTTGTTTAATAAGAAAGGAAAGATTTGAACTTATTATCGAAATTTATATTGACCAAATATCGTAAATTGCTCTTGATGATCTCTTGCAGACATTCGTAGTTGTAAGCAAAGGAAAAGATATTTTTCGCTTTTCTGCATCAAAAGCAATGTGGCTGCTCGATCCATTCAATCCGATACGTCGTGTGGCCATTTACATTCTAGTGCATCCATTATTTTCCCTATTCATCATCACCACAATTCTCGTCAACTGCATCCTGATGATAATGCCGACAACGCCCACGGTTGAGTCCACTGAGTAAGTACTACGCCCCCCCCCCTATTCATTTTCATACATATATATATTCCATACAGTATATATATATAATTTATCTGACCACATATACTATATAATAATATGTAAACCCCAACTGAATACACTTGATTTCTCGATTAACTTTAACCTTAGATCAATTTGATTTTACAAAACTTATTTAAGTTGATTTTTGATTTTTCTTTGGTTTATGGTTTAGTTTTTCTTTTTAACTAAATATTATTATTACTCTGTACTAGTCATATAAGTATATAAACATCTATATACCTATGTGCTATATAATCGACATATTTAATTATATATTTAAAACCGATATATTATACGATACTACTATATATGTAACTTTTTCGATATTTATGCAGATGTGTATTTAGGTCAAACTTGAATTTCTTTCCTCTATGATTTCAACAAAAGCCAAACGAAAAGAAAAGAAATCGAAAAACAGCAACAAACCAAAGTGCAATCGATATGTAACCTGTACTATATATATATTTCAATCTCTATATATATATATATATATATATATATATATATATATTTCAATTCCATTTAACTGTCTAATAATCAATCTTTATGAACGACGCAGGCAAAGGTAAAGAGATGTCGAGTAAAGTAAAGTTCCTAGGTAGCTAAAAAAAAGTCATTTCCAGTAAAAGAGAACCTTGTTATCATGATGCATTATCATAGGTAGTGGTATGACTTCTCGGTGATGATGGTCAATCTATTGACCAAACTGCTCTTGTATGATATGACACCACCACTATCGCATCAAACAGCATACATAACTATCTTCTATAAATATTAACTCTATAAATATATCAAAAAATATATATATATGTAATATCCTCATAAACTCGTACTCGTTTTTCTGTCGTGAGTAACTATTTGCAAGATATATATATATATATTCGATCGTTCGATAAACTCGATCATAAAGCCACCACTCGCCGCGTTCCAATTAACAGATTCATTCGATTAACTCATTCAAACTGTAAATTTGCCACGCTAGTCCATCTGTGTTTGGGTCCAATCACCCAATAACTCAATCGCAATCCTCCCGAGAACCGACTATATATCCCAATCCGAAACCGAACCCCACCCCCCATGTGTTGGGTTGTTGGTAACTCGTAGAGCTGGGTCCAGCTGGGACTGGTTGGTTTTGGTTTGTTCACGTTTCGAATTAAATTCAATCGATATATCATTTGTAAATCAAGTAATTTAGTGTAACGTAAAGTTTCGATTGTAGTCCCTAGCTAACTAGTTTAATAACCTACATATCTTACACATCCCTAGAACATACTTAGACTTATATCCATAGATAGAAATTATGTAAATTGTTAAAACAATATTTATTAAGTAAACCAAAAAAAATGTATTGTAAAACTTAAAACCAAGTAATCCCAAACTAGAAACAGAACTTAGTTCATTTTTGATCATCGTATCTATGTAAATCATATGTAATCATAGTTAAGATCCCCCCAACTATATAATCGAATTTAGTTTTAGATAATATAAACCAGTTTTGTACAAGGGGTTGGTATAGTAAAGTATAGTATACTTTTTTGGGGGTAAACGTAAAGTAGACGTTTTTTAGCTGACTTAGAGAACTCATAACCTTAGAACAGTTGATGGATCTTTGGATCCCGTATATATAATATATAGATAGTAAATCAATTTATAGATATATAGAAATCCTATAATTCAGCAGGACATCTGACTCTCGCTCTTTTTACTAAATAGTAACTCGACTCGATTCGTTTTAGAGCTCATCTAGAAGTTGTTTATCTTAGAAAAAACAATCCTAGTTAGTTGTATATAGGTAATGATTAAATCTAGCGACATATACTTAAAGGAAAGCCAAGCGAGCAAAAATGCTTTGAAGAGAGCGCTATGCGCCGACAAAACAACAAAAAAAAGCAAAATTTAAAGTGAAAAGAGTTACGTCATTTTTCTAGCTGATATCAAAGATATTGTCGCAGATTTGGTATCAGAATTGAGCACCCTAAGAGACAGAGACAACAGACAGTGTTAGTGACAGTATAAGGATAACTATAAGAATAAGAATAAGGATAAGTATAGAAGGAGGAGCAGATGGCAGCCAGATGGAAGTGCAAGCGGAAGTGCCACTTGAACTTGGCCAAGGGGTTGGACGCGTTCGAGGGTTCAGGAAGTGTAGGGGATGGGTCCTTAAACAGCAGGTGCTGCATAACTTGAGACACACGCACACACACACACACACACAGAGACCTGGAAAAAGGGAAAGTATGAATGTACGGTATATAGCAGAGAAAGAAAAGCCAAAGGACGCTCCTCAATGTGGGTCGAGAGAGAGAGAGAGCGAAAGAAAGAATGAAAGATGCAGTGGGAAAAATCACTTTCATTTTATTTTCCAGCCTTTTCGTTCTAATGAACTTTTAGTTGATACAATTTTCTAAAGAACTTTAAGATTAAAAATTCTGGAAAAAAAAGAAGTTCAAAAAGAGAAGCGACAGTAATGCAAAGGTAGCCCTCTTTTCGCTCAGTGCAGGGGTCACACTTATTCTAGGCCCCTGAGAAAGACATAATACCTGCAATTAAAACACAGCTAAAGTGTCCTTCACAGGCATTGGGGCCTAGGTCAGACGCATTCTCGTCTTCCCAACCCCACAACCTCTTTATCCATCTTCTTTCTCCTCCTCTCCTGCAGCGACTTTAAACTAGTTGCGGCGCCCAAAGGACAAGACGACAAATACAACGAACTGTGTTGTCTGAAATGCTGCCTGAAATCTGTCAAATGGCTAACCAGGCAGCAGGAGGCGTAACAGCAGGGGGGGAGGGGGTTGTCGTGGATGGGCGTAGATGGGCGGACAGTTGGCCGAAGGTCGGCCTATTGATCTGACACACCCACACGAACCAACAGCTTCCCACACAAAAGCAGCAGCGTCAAGCAGTTGGCCGTTAAGTATTAACCATTATTGACATTGACAATTGTCTATCTGCATCTGCAATTCAGTAATTAGGACGGTCGAGTACTAGTACTAGTGCCAAGTGTCCTTTTGATGTGAAGTAGAAGGCATTTTCTTTCAAATTCAGTTTCTTTCAGTAGCTAAAGAAAATCTAAAGGTGTTGGGAAATGAAGAAATCAAATATTTAAGTTATATAAATAATAATTTTTCAATTTTATAAATGTTTCTTTAGAAATTTAAACCTTAATTGTCAGTCAATCCTCTCTGTGTGTTTGAGTGTGTGTGCTGGCTTTATGTGACTGCTATTTAAATGACGGGGACTGTAGTGGCTGTACATCAATCTAGAACAAAAGCAAAAAGGCAATTTGTGAATCACAGATAGGGAGATACTATCATTGAGCTCGTTGAGGTTGTTGGTGGAACCATTTCACAAAAAGCTAAAAAAAAAAGAGACAGATGTTAATAGGCTAATCAATTAAGTTAGTTTTAAAAAAAAAAAGTACGAATATGAATATGAATATAAACCTTGTACTAACTTGGAAAACCAACGATAAAAGTCGGTTGATGGAAATGCAAATGGTAAATCAACGCTGGAACGAAATGTGGAGACCGCATCGGAGGCATTGGGAGCCAGGAGTGTAGCCTACTTTTAAGCTCCGATTTTATTCCTCTAACTCTATTTGAAATATTTTACTTTTTGGATATCTATTTAACCAGTCTTAACCATCTATTTTCTTGGTCAACATTTTACCAATTGGTTTTAGTTTTTCTGTGTGTCTGTTGTTGGTTTTTTTTTTTTTTGTGTTTTTGTATTGTTTGTTTCGTTGATCATATCAGGCAGTCTAACCAAAAAAATAAAAACATTTCAATCTACATTTGAAGTGCATAAAAATAAGAGCCAAGAGGACAACAAACAACAAATTGCATTTCGAAATTCAATTCGTTTTTAGGGTGATATTCACCGGAATCTACACATTTGAATCAGCTGTTAAAGTGATGGCACGAGGTTTCATTTTATGCCCGTTTACGTATCTTAGAGATGCATGGAATTGGCTGGACTTCGTAGTAATAGCTTTAGCGTGAGTTATATAAACCTATATAAATATATATAAACATATAAATATATACATATCTAATACTTATATTCCTTATTACAATTGAATAATTATAAATTATCATAAATCACGTATATCATGCTTACAATAATCATCATTAATTTTGCTGCCTTAGAACCGAAAAAATATGCGGTTTAAGTGTCTCTTTTAGTAAATTACTTAAAATTAATTATATTTAATAATCACAAATAGTATTTTTTCGGTCCTGAGCAGTTTCCTTCGCACTAAAGCGTATCATCATTTAAGGATCAGTTCTCGTTTCTTGTGTTGCCTTTGACTTACAATTTGCTTTCGTATTGGTATTCGTAACTGAATTTATCATCCATCGTATAAACTGTAGTCACACGAAACTGAATAGCAGTCCTTTTACCCTCAACTCCTTTCCTCTACCAAGAAACCCCTTTTACCACTTTCCCACGCCATTTTTTCCATTTCGATTTTATGAATAATTTCTGGTATAGTTTTTTTTTTCCGTTTGAAGTTTACAGTCAGTTGACTTCTGATTACAAATTAGCAATATTTGCATACAATATTTATTATTATTATTATCAATTTATGCAAAAAAAATTCACACACACACACCCACACAAGTACACACTTCATTAACATAATCGTGGCTGTGCCAGTACCACTACTTATATACTCTTGTATACATATGTATTTGTGCGAGTGGGAGTCGGGCAATTAGCAGCATCGAGTTGAGTCAATCAATGAAAAGCGGAAAAAAAAATCCGATAAAAAACGTTCAGAAAAAAAATGGGGAAAAATCGAGGCTGAAGGCTGAACGGAACGCGGCGTTAGCCGATTTACAGACATATGCATATAGATGCTCGTATGCATATTTTGCTGGTCCATTAAATGCAATCAAAGAGACAGCTGTGTGTTCTATCAGCATCAGCAATTGCATAAATGAGCTTTTGGAATACAGGAAAAAAAATCTAGTAAAATTCTTTGGCCATAAAAAATGCAGATGTTTGTCGGAGAAGGGGTGGGGAATATGGTCAGTGAGAGCGTTAAGCAGAAAAAACTAAACTTAAATCCTGGTTAAGTTAAAGATTTTTAAAGGATATTTCTTCTTTTTGAGGATTTTCATAGCTGCCAGTTAGCCTAAAAATCTAAATTTCCAAATACCTAAAAAACAAAGTGTGTGTTTATGGCCAACTCAGTAATTACTTTTCGACTTAATAAAAAAAAAAAATGTACATAGAGTGAGGAAGGAATGTAGGTGCTTTCTTTTTGTAGAATTAATCAAAGGGGAGAGGCCAACGGAAATATTCAAAAGTAGAAGCTGAATCAAATTAAAATGAACAGAGGCACACGACCAAAGAGCAAATGGAATTACATTCATTAGAGTCAGCAGTTGGAAAATAATAAAAAAAAAAAAAGAAGGAAAGAACAAAATGGGGGAAAAACACGGCAAAAAAAAAAGGGCAGCCACAAGAAAACAGCTATGGCCATAGAATTCTATAGAATTATACGTTACACGCGAGGGAAACAAAAAAAGTCGCGTTAACGGAGCATTTTTATTGATTTATTTTTTTCCGTTTCTAATGACGCGCCCAACCATACACAAACACATACTCATACACACACACACAGAGGCACATGCCAGGATTTTCTACGATTATTTTCTAAGCACTCACACACACACAGACAAACACATAAATAAAAAAGCCATAAACAAATTTTTGGTCGCTCAAGTTAATTTTTTGTTCCATTTCCCATCTTTGGGTTATATTTTCTTTTCTCTTTTCTTTTCGTTTCTTGTTTTTTTTCTTTTTTGTTTGAAATTGCCGCTTTCCCTTGTTCTTTTTGTCGTTTCGTGACAATTCCATTTCATTGCTTTCTGCTTCATTTTAAGCATTTATTGGAGCTGTCTATTTGCCATACTTTTTCTTTTCTCTTTATTTTTCTTCTCCCCCTTGGGTGGCCCCCCCAAACTGGAGGAGGGGAGGTGACTATGTCGTGCGGCACATTTGGCTGGTGGCGCCGCCAGGACGCGCAGCCTTGGCTCGTCAATGCCAGGCACGACATTTTAAAGCTCCGGCTTAAAGTGTTCGTGTTTTTTCCATATTTTTTCTTGTTTTTCCCCCTATTTTTTTTTTCGTTTTCCCGCATGAAGAGCGAGAGTTTTGCGAATGCAGGCCACTCGTTGGGCAGGCAGTTTTTTCACACGATGGCCAGGATTCAGCCAGAAATAGGTCCTATAACACTGTTAAAACGAACTGGTTGGCGTATTAACAGGATTATGGCCACATTGCGTATACGTATTCAAGCCTAAGACTGGGGTAAGGGGAAAACCCGTTATATACTTTGAGATCTCAGAAGAGGATTTGAAAGGAAAGTTAGCATAATGTATGAAATGCGGGCTATTGTATCTTTCACATAGCAAAACATTACGTATACGTAATTTTTGTAATGCTTCATATATTACGTATACGTAATTTGTTGATATTTTGTAAATATTACGTATACGTTATTTATGAGAATTCTAAAATATTACGTATACGTAGGTAGATCATTGTTACTAACTGAAGACTAAAACAATCTTTATGATCATAATTTAGTTTAGAATTGTTAGCCTTTTGGATTTTTACCATCTGTGTTCCGATGGATCCTCAGCTTTATTCCATTTGTATTCCTTCTTTTTTTTGTTTTAATATAAAAAACAGGCAATTATACGAAAGCATGGCACGCAATGGTAGACAAATCGATAAATATTCATGAAAAATAAATGGAACCGCTGTTGCTAGTGGCACTTTCAGTTTGGGTGGTGGTGCAACTACCTAAAGACCACCTACACCATATCTAACCACCCATCGTATACCATTCGAGAATTCCCAAAGGATGACGTACGACGGGTCACTGTATACCACCTCCTGGTTGGGGGAGAGGGCACAGGGGTGGGATAAGCAGGCTCTATTAATATGCTTTTTTTATGGCCAGCCATTGATCGATGGGCCAAGGACGGGTGGGAAGTGGCCCAGGTGAAGCTAATTTACAAAATGTGTAATAAACTTGGCCGGGCTGTAGCTTTATTTATTTTAGTACCTATGTTTAGAGGCATATGTCAAAGTTCGCATTCATTTTTGGCTTTTTATGGCATACATATACATACATATTTACACTAACACACACGAACATTACATACACTCGTTTGATTTCCGTTAATTGCTTTGTAACGAAGAACATAAGAGAATAATGAACCCACAACATTTGTAATTATATCGAATGCAATCGAATCAAATCGAATCGAAGCAAATTCTATAAATAACCAACTTAATCGCATGCCTATAGCACTCTAATTACTAATACTCGATGACATTCTGTGTGTATATCCGTATCTGTATCTGTAACTGCTGACCCCTGCCATCGAAATACGCATTACGACATCTTCTTCTTCTTACACAACGACAATCAACGATCGAAATCGAAATCGAAATCGAAATCTATATCCGATCTGCAGTTATGTGACCATGGGTATAGATTTAGGTAATCTAGCAGCCTTGCGAACGTTTAGGGTGCTGCGAGCGCTTAAAACCGTAGCCATTGTGCCAGGTATGAATTATGTTTATGAAAGGCTTTATCATCTTTCTATATATTGAATTAAAAACAATCTCTACTATAAGATATATCAAATTTATTATTAAAAAATATCTCAAATAAATAGGCTTGAAGACCATCGTCGGTGCTGTCATTGAATCGGTGAAGAATCTGCGCGATGTGATAATCCTGACCATGTTCTCCCTTTCGGTGTTCGCGCTGATGGGCCTGCAGATCTACATGGGCGTACTCACTCAGAAGTGCATCAAGAAGTTCCCGCTGGACGGCTCCTGGGGCAATCTGACCGACGAGAACTGGGACTATCACAATCGCAATAGCTCGAATTGGTATTCGGAAGACGAGGGCATTTCATTTCCGCTGTGCGGCAATATATCTGGAGCGGGGTAAGTCTGATCGATAATCATATTTGATATTCCCTAGTATTTTGAATTAAACTAAACTATTTCTATAATTCATTTCTTTTTCCATGATTATCCAAAACAATCGATGTGATCTGATACCAGGCAATGCGATGACGACTATGTGTGCCTGCAGGGGTTTGGGCCAAATCCGAATTATGGTTATACCAGTTTTGATTCATTCGGTTGGGCCTTCCTGTCCGCTTTCCGGCTGATGACACAGGACTTCTGGGAGGATCTGTATCAGCTGGTGTTGCGCGCTGCCGGACCATGGCACATGCTGTTCTTTATAGTCATCATCTTCCTAGGTTCATTCTATCTTGTGAATTTGATTTTGGCCATTGTTGCCATGTCGTATGACGAATTGCAAAAGAAGGCCGAAGAAGAAGAGGCTGCCGAAGAGGAGGCGATACGTGTAAGTAGACACCCAGACCAAGATGCCCCCAGACATCAACAACAACTGCAACTGCAACTGTCACTGCAGCAGCAAGTGCAATTTGCAAACTGCAAATGCAACTGCAGCAGCAAGTGCTAAGCAGTGGGACAAGAACATGAACAGACATATTCCAAGTACAGTACTTAACAAACTAACCAAACTACACACTAAAACAGCGTACTAATCCCAACCAACAGCTGTGGTAGATAATTTCAATTTCGATTGTTGCGGGAACTCGATCGAATATTGAGAATATCTACCCAATCACAGCAACAACCACAACAGACTTGCTTTTTTCTTTTGTATGTGTACCATATATGAATATATGAATATATGAATATATAAATATGAATATGAATATGAATCGTCTACTCGTATGTATATCGTATGCCCTAATATCGTATGCTTTAGCTAATTGTCTATCAAACTTACTTAATCAACAACTATCGCAACATCTTATCAAAACTACAACTATCTCTCTTCCTGTACTTTTCATTGTAAAAAGAAAAAAACAAAAAACAAAAACAAAAAAAAGAATGTGTCGAATTCAGTTCCGTCTGATACAGTCATTTAGTAACTGCTATACTATATAAGACCTGGTCTTATCTCACGTACCATTTAGCTTTCAAAAGTTCCTGGAACTTGCCCTTTTTCTATCTTCTCTCCATGTATACTTATATATATTTTAATCTTGTATGTAAACTCTTTGGAGATATACTCGTACTTACTTATGATTTCAGTGCACCATTAGTTCCGATCCTGTCACTAGTCACAAAACGATTATTAACGAAAATAACAAAAGAAAAAATCAAATTTACTCACAACCTATACTTACAATCTATAATATATATATCTATCGCTATAAATATGTATCAAATAAGTTCCTGAGACCTAAAAATCCCAAGCCCAAAGACCCATCCTCTCCTCAAAAACCCAGCACAGCACCTTAATGTATGATTTCATTTCTGATCTGTATAACCTATTAACCATAACCGATCAATGTAGTGTAGTTTTGCTTTCTTTGTAATGTACCAAAATCCAAAAACCAAAACCCAACCCTATAACCACCCACCCAATCCCCAGCCAATAATGAAAAAAAGAAAAATTAATGAAAAACCAACCAACCCCACCCACCTGAACCTCCGGATGTGTGAGATTACGGAGTGTGATAGGACTGTAAATAATTGCTAATTATAATAACAATTGTTGTAGGAAGCTGAGGAAGCTGCCGCCGCTAAAGCCGCCAAGCTGGAGGAGCGGGCCAATGCGCAGGCTCAGGCAGCAGCGGATGCGGCTGCCGCCGAAGAGGCAGCACTGCATCCGGAGATGGCCAAGAGTCCGACGTATTCGTGCATCAGCTATGAGCTTTTCGTTGGCGGCGAGAAGGGCAACGATGACAACAACAAGGAGAAGATGTCCATTCGCAGCGTCGAGGTGGAGTCGGAGTCGGTGAGCGTTATACAAAGACAACCAGCACCTACCACAGCACACCAAGCTACCAAAGTTCGTAAAGTGAGCACGGTAAGTATTCCGAGCGCAGGCGCAGCATTTTTCTTTACCTTCCTTTCCATTCCAGTCTTTTTCTGTTACGTTTCCGTTACGTTTTGTAATACCATTTGACGAGTTTCCGTTAAACGTTTCCCTTATCGTTTCCCTATTCCGTTTTCTCTCTCCATATAAAAACCCTAATTATTTCGATAATTATTTTCGATTGTTTTCTTTCGTTTTTGGTTAAAGTTTATCCTTTATCCGTTTTGGTTTGGCTTTTGCGTTTGTGTTTGGGCTCTACTGTACCCAATGTCTTTAGATCTAGATGTGTTAACTGTACTTGAATTGCGTTTGGTTAGCCCGATGGGCTATCGATTATTATACATACATATATACTCGTATATCTATATATATATATATATATGTGTGTTACCTTTGAGTTGCTTTTGGCCTCGATTAGGTTGCTTTTCCGTTGCGTTTTCATTTACTCAAATCGATTTCCCTGCCGAGGGTCTCGTTTTCCGATCGCTGCCTATCGATTAACGATAACCGATCCGCTGGGCTCCAGTTTCTAGCTTGCGTTGCAGCTTCTCGAGTCCATTTATGAGCTATCGATTAAAATTGCGTCGCCGCTACAGCTACAGTTAGAGCTACAGTAAAAGTTACAGTTATAGTTACCGTTACCGCTACCGTTAACCGTTACATTGCCATTTGCATTGTTATCGATACCACCTGAGTTCCAATTATCGCCTATCATTTTGTATCGTTATCTCTTTTCTCGTTTCTCGTCGATTTTCCTTTGATTCGTTTTGATCTCATTTTGTTAGATCTCTCTCCCTCTTTTGATTGGATCGTACATTTCGTGCCTTATATGCTGTATAAATTTACCCGTATGATCATGCAACTAGATATTGAATCCTTTCATACCTGTATATGGATATAGTGTTAGTGCGTGTCGATATGTATGTATGTACTATGATCCTAACCTATCTCTATAACTCTCTTTAACTTTCTATCTATTTATTATTATCATTTCATTCATTTTATTTGATTTTTCTTTTCTTGATTTCCTTTATGTTATGTGCATGCGAGTGCCTGGGTGTACGTGAGCGTCAGTGGGTTATAGAATCCCAGACAGATTTCGTAGTTCTATATCGTAGGAGCTTTTGACAATGATTTTTCCAATTTGCCTAGCTTCAGATTTGAATTTGGTTTTATGTTTTCTTTTTTGCTTTCCACTGATTTCGTAATTTGTATCCGTTTATCGTTTATGATTTCGATTTTGGTTGGGTCATTGCTCGGAATGCTTTAGGTAACATCGAAAACTCCTTATCCACATATCCAATATATATATATTATGGATTTTTTGACAATTGGCTTTTGAACTGCATTCTGCTACGCCCGTCATTTCAACGCAAGCTAAGAGAACCGATTAATGAATCATAGGCTTCTTCAAGATTCGTCAGCTTGGCTTGACCATTGGAACTGCGCTTAAAAGGCTTTGAACCCATACAAATACCACGTTTCCTTTTCGGTTTTCGAATTAAAATTAGATTTTTGGTTACATTGTTTCCGGTTTCGGTTCCGGTCTTAACTGCTATCCTTTTGATCCCTGACTATGGTCATCAATCAATGTTTGTTTTTGATTTTTTTTGTTCGTTTGAGTTGATGTTGAGTTCCCGTTCTTGTTTCAACTTTCTGTTAAACGTTCCGTTTCGATATATTTGTTGATATATTGTACGATAGAGTTTCAGATTTGATAATTTCTGTGGCTGCATAACCATTGCATGCATTGATCGAACGTTACATTTACCGTTATAGCATCTATAAATGTATAACAATTATAACAGTTGACACACGCCACAAAACGTATGCCGAACGAATTAGAGAATCAATCCATTTGATTGGAGAACCTTAGCCACTTGTGCTAGAACAGCACCAGATTGAAATCAAATCAAATTGAATTACGAAACGAACTATTCAATCGAATCGAATCGAATCAATCACAATATCTATCGGGCGAGCGATAACCAATTGCGATAACCACAGATTCTTATTCTTTCTTGCTAAGCTAAATAAATAGTTACCTCTCACGAAACACTAACTTGTTCTGGCATATGGCAAGCGTTTGCTTTTACGCACAGCTACACTAACACGAAACACGCGTGCAATTGGATAATCCCCGCGATAGACGATAACCAATAACAAAATAACCGATTATTTACGGTTCCCAATATTGAACAGAAATAAACTCTTGAATGCGGAACGGCTTCTTCCGTTTAGGTCTCATAAACCGCGCTAACACAGCAATGAACCGCCTTGAATAGCTAAGATTCAAAAAATATACACTATTCCACACGATATATACCGATAACCGATATACTGATTGATAACTCGCTATCGCTATCTCGCTCTCGCTCGCTCGCTAGCTCGTTCTAACCAACCATCAAATTCTTGCTCAGGGCAGCCTCAGATAGTTTTCGATGAGAGCAGAAACTATTTGGGATTGACCATTGATCGTATATCGATAAGTCCCCAGTTGCCTCAGGTAGGTTGCTCTCTTTCGCTTCTTCTGTCTATCTCTCTCTCTCTCTCTCTCTCTCTCTCCCACACACACAATCTTTCTATTTCAACAACTTTCTATCTGTCTCGCTCTGTTAAACCAATCAAGCGAAACCACACAGACAAGAAACAACACGCGTACAAACCTTTAAGAAAAGAAAGTCTGTCTATAGGACACCAAACAGAGCCAAGATCTATGATAAAAATAATAGACATACCGTCCAGACATACCGTGTAGATAATAAATATCCTTCCTTATTTTCGATCCGCTAGCCGCCCCCCTCTTGCCATGCCCCGCTGAGTATGCAACGAACAAAAAAAAAACAGAGATCGAAAGCGCAGTAGAGTTGTGATTTGAAACTAGAAATGCATCCGTACGAAGTTTGGAAGAGATTTGCCTAGAATTGATTTTAGAACTTTAAACGATTAACACTTGATTCTGATTTTGTGGATTATTTACGTTTTACCGTTCAAATTGAGCCGACTTTTCCGCCAATGGGACATCAATTTTCCTAGTCTCGACGTTTGTTCAAACCTTTTCAGTTTACCGTTAACCGTTAACCCGTTTACCGTATTCCTACCGTATTGTTCCATTGAAGTTTTCTCATTTTTCTGTTGATTGATATAATTCTTGATCTACGAACTGTATAAGTATAATATATATATTTCCCCCGTTTTATAGAACGTTTTAGTTTTTCTGTTCTCTCCAACCCCGACCCCTAAAAAAAAATATTTAGCTAAATGAATCAACTTTTCTAATCAAACGCTACGCTCAAGTAGAACCCAAAAATATATATATCACACTAAAAATTAATCAACCCAACCCTTCACAACTACAAAACAACAACAACAACAAACAATGTAATATAGTTGCTATCTTATGTTAAAACGGATGACATACATAGTTAAACACAATATGTATACATATACAGTAAAACAACAACACATTTACACACACCCACACACACATGTATACTACTCACAACTAAATGCTCTAAGTAACAACTTTTCCTTTAAATCGTAGACAACCAAATAACGATTAATTTATACCCAAAAAAAACAAAAAACCAAAAGAAAAGAAAAGAAATTGTACAAAATATAAATCTACATTTATCCATAGATTATAAAACCGCAATCGAGGAATATATATATTTTATTTGATTCATTTTTCTTTTTCTTCTTCTATTTATACTTTGTTTGTACAACAAATGAAAAATGAAAATGAAAAAACAAACCGAACCGAAAAAAAAAATAATGAAAAACAAAACTTAGACATCCTTATCCTTACCTGGTTCACCGTTTAACATACGCAGGGGATCACGTAGTTCTCACAAGGTAAGCGCCCAACACACACACACACACATACACTCGAATACACGACACAGTTACACCACCCACTAACACTGACACACTGATTTGCGTTAAACACATAACAAGTACACCCTAAATCATCGGCCGCCAGTCGATCATATCCATGCGGATAATGGAATTGGTCATAGATCACATCACGAATCACTCGTCGATCATCTGAGACTCAATGTCACCCAAGACTTAGTGAAGTAATCTTGTATCTTGTAGGCAGTTGCTACCGTACAGCATTTAGAACATACATATGTATAGTTTTCGAAACGGTTTCCATTCAAACAACACTGAACTATGCCTTAGGATCATCATCCTCTTCCATATATATTTTCGTATATAAAAAACGACTTTAGACTAGCGTAGCATCCGAAACATATGTAATACTACCTCCCCGATCATTTTTAGATGATGAGAGAGTCATGTTTGGCACTTAAAAAAAACATATCGATAAGCTTTCGCATTAGCATTACCTACCATAACATTAACCATTTGCCATTTACTCACCTAATCGTCTAATTACTGTCTACATGTTTTATGGTTTTTCTACTCTTCGATAATTGTTTCCTTGTTTTGGCCTTGTTTTTTGTGTATCGCTGTATCTTCATATCCCTATTAAAAAAAAAAATATATATATATATATATATCTAATGTTATATATGTATAATATCCATGCATATCCATCTATAACGTATAGTCGTCTAAACTAACTGTACTGCTCTTTACTGTACTCGGTTGTAAGTGTGTCTGTCTCTGTGTGCCTGTCCTCTATTCCTTCCTCCTGTACACCGACCTGTACCGCCCAGATTCTTGGTTAGCTTGATCTCTGCAGTGGGCTACGATGGAAACAGTTCTCGTCCGGATGTCTAATTCATCTCACGGTCACTGTTACACGGTCACTGCCATAGTCGCTCACTCACTGATCACTGTCACTGATCACTGATCACTGATCACTATCACTATCACTATCAGCCTCACGTTCACCTTCACCTTTCATGTCTCAATGTGCATTCTTATGATCGTTTTGCCCTCTGATTTAATATTCTTTCCCTTTGGTTGGTTTATTGTGTTTGTTTTTGTCTCTTCTTTTTTTTTTCTTCTCTGTAAGTATCTGTATAATCATGTCTATGTATATGCAAAAAAGAAAAAGAAAATCATATTTAACAAAAAAAGAACACCAACGAACCTGGGTAATCTGTCTGTGGTCCGTTTCCTAGTATATTCTTAACCGGAATCAGCGTAGATAATACTATCATCTGAACTGATTTCGTGGTTAGCTCATTTGATTTGTTCTTCCGCTCTTGATTTATTATTGTTGCCTATAATTGCTCATTTCAATACCATCGATAACGAGTCTTTCTGTTAGACCAATATGCCGAAGAATACCCCGCGTCATAACTCTCACCACTCTCGGCAAATACCACTTAATATATACCTACTCCTACTACTGCTCTCTGCTGTATTACTACTTTGTAATTACTAATAACGACTATATTTTTAAAAAATAAATATATATATATACTAATAATAATAATAATATTAAATGCTGTGTGGCTTCACTGAATGCGAGAGTGGGTGCGTGTGTGTGTGCGAGTGTGCCTGTGAATGCGAGTGTGGGCTTAAGCTGATGAACTAACCGATACCATGTCCTGTAACCATGTCCAGTACACGATACGGAACGGACGTGGACGCTTTGGTATACCCGGTAGCGATCGCAAGCCGTTGGTATTGTCAACATATCAGGACGCCCAGCAGCACTTGCCCTATGCCGACGACTCAAATGCCGTCACCCCGATGTCTGAGGAGAATGGGGCTATCATAGTACCCGTATATTATGGTAATCTAGGTAAGGGTTACCTCTTTTTTGCTCCTTTTCTTATCAATCTTAATAATATTAAATTTTTGTTGACAGGCTCTCGACACTCATCGTATACCTCGCATCAGTCCCGTATATCGTATACCTCACATGGCGATCTACTCGGCGGCATGGCCGTCATGGGCGTCAGCACAATGACCAAGGAGAGCAAATTGCGCAATCGCAACACACGCAATCAATCAGTGGGAGCCACCAATGGTGGCACCACCTGCCTGGACACCAATCACAAGCTCGAGCATCGCGACTACGTAAGCCTCCCGCCCTCACTATGGCCCTATGGCACTTTACAAGTAATCGATATAAATGAACGATTATTTCGATATTTACAGGAAATCGGTCTGGAGTGCACGGACGAAGCTGGCAAGATTAAACATCATGACAATCCTTTTATCGAGCCCGTCCAGACACAAACGGTGGTCGACATGAAAGGTATGAGAGCGATAAACAATTTCGATTAGTTTATGGTTATAAATATTGTTATTGATCAAGATTGATTAAATCTATAATGTAACCTTTAACCTTAGAGGGATTTCAGATATTAATACATCGTTTATGTAGGTATAACTGTATAGCATTACCATATACCATTAGTATGTAGTCAACGATTAGTAGTATAACTCCAATTGAATATCTTCGATAAATTCGATAACACTGTTTTCTGTTTTCCTTTCAGATGTGATGGTCCTGAATGACATCATCGAACAGGCCGCTGGTCGGCATAGTCGGGCAAGCGATCGCGGTGGTAAGTGAATCGATATATGCTTGCCGTTAACTGTAATTGTTTACTATCGATTAATCTACCATTTCGTTCATTCTGTACATTTTTGCATCCCAATCGATATCGATCTCGTCGTCTCTTTTTGTGTTCAAAACCTAACTTACATGTGCATTGTTCGATTTGATTTCCGTTTCCGTTTTCCTGTTTCCTGTTTCGTTATCATGTAAATACAAATACTGTAAACAGCAGCCTTGGGATTGCGCGGGGGAATAAAGATTGCCAGTCGATTTCCCTCGACAATCTCTTACCCTCTTCTTCTTCTTTTAAACAATTTACATTTTTTTTGGCTTTAAGAACTAAAAACCCAGCATTATAATAGCTTAATATCATCTCCAGCCCAATTTTCTTACGAAAACAAAAAAAAATATATATATTGTAAAATCAAAATGGAGTGACAGTTTCATTGACCTGGCCATCATGGCTGTCTTTCGGCCATGATTTTATTTAATTTCCCTTCATGGTTTATGCATTTCATTTTGCATTTTGATTGCGGTCTTGTTTTGATTTTATCGGTTCGCATGCGTTTTTGTGACCTGACGCCCCCCCTTCCCGCCTGTCCGAGTCCTTCTACCGACCGACAGACCAACAGACCGACTGACCCTGATTGATTGATGAGCAAGTGTCCTGCTCGTAGAGCTAACTCGCATGCGGCCTGCATCATCCTGTGCATCCCGTGCATCTGTCGATTGAATATAATTGATAACCTATTTAACCCAATTCCGTCAGCGAAGAGCAAATGATGCGCCATGGCCTCTATTTGTTTTATATATATACTATATTTCACCCATTGCATTTTCCTTTGTGTTCTGTTCTGCATTCTATTCCTACTTTCGTGTGCATACATATATATATAGAAATATTTTTGATTCCTTCTTTTTGATTCCCTTACTCTACTCAGAGCTGAAGATAAAACCAAAAAAAGAAAAGCGAAAGAAAACAAATAACAAGCAAAACATATTTTATATATATACCTATGCATATATATCCATATATATATATATATATACTCCAATGAATGACTTCTTTGACTCGTCCATTTTATTTAATGCCGTTGATGCTAACAGAAGAAAGCGAACAAGCAAAAAAAAAAACCAAAAAAAAAAAATGCCAAAAACCAATACAACAAATGTTAAAAAAAGAACAACAACAACAGTCCGTTACGAAAAAAAAGTGCTGTTAGCTAGCCACACACATACACGGCCAAACTGGCACACACCCATATATAATTAGAGTTGTTCCTCACAAACACACACACAGAGAAACACGCGCGCGTACATAGAGAGAGCAAGGCGCTCTCTCACAGCCTTTGTCTACTTTCTACTCTCTCTCTCTAACAAACTTAAAGCTTTCGCATTTCGCACGCTGCTGACGCTCCCACCCACACAGCCATACACTTTACAAACAAAAAAAAAAGAAAACACACACACCACACGTACACTGAGCAGCCGGAGAGGTGACAAAAACTTCTAATCACTCCTTCCTGCCAGCTGTGACGTCACGAAGGCTGCTCCTTAAGAGAGGCTCAACTTGATACATTCCTTTCGAAATTTCAAAAAAATATTTAACGCGAAATTCGATTTTCTTCCCCATGTTGGTTACAATGCTATATGTATTAACTTTAGTTAACTATCGTTTTTTTTTTCTCTCTCTCTTAGTGCATGCCTTTACTAGTTACCTGTATATTTCCAATATTTTAGATAACTTACTGCCCCAAAAACCTAGATGATTTCGTTTTCCTTAAGTACATTTTGTCATATTTCGTAGTTATTATGAATTTTGGCCTAATGAAAATGAAAAAAACAAAAACAACAAAAACCGTATATTTGTTAATACTAGAGCATGCTTTTGTTGAACAGTTCGTAGAGCATTATTTAGTCAAATCACATTCACTGTTATATCTAATGATTTCCATGATTGTAAACAATAAATATTATTATATATGCTTAGAAACTAATTTAACTGATAATTGAAGCGTCGTCGAACAACGATTGTATTGGAATATGATTCGAGTAGTAATATTTGTGAATTTCCAGAGTGTCCGTATGGGTTCCGATCATGCTAGTGCCAAGTAGCCTAGCCAAGCCTAGCCAAGCCTAGCCTAGCCTAGCCTAGCCTAGCCTAATCTAAGGTTACAGTGTAGTTAGTAATCAGCATTAGCCGCATATATCAGCTTTCAGTAGAGAAGTACCAAACTGGCGTTGGAATCTTCGGGTGTCGAAGTAAAGATTTTCTTAACGTAAAGCTTGCAAAATGATCGATAACAACATTATCGATAACTTGCAAGCTATGCAGAAGGATCTCTTTCGAGCAACGCCAAGTAGTTCAGTTTAGTTAAGATCTTATCGTACCTTTTTAAATTTGAATCAAATTTGCAATCCTACCTACAAACTTTTCTTTTCGCAATGTGCAACGTGCAATGTGCAATGTGCAACGAATTTGACAATCAGTAACTCAAAGCCAAAGCCTCTCTCTCTCTCTCTCTCACACAAGACACAAACTTTGAACCGTTTGAACCGCTTAACGAATAATATCCAATGCAATGAGCTTCAACAAAATAAAAAAAAAACAGCAAACCAAAAAACAAAATAATATGAAAAAAAAAACAAAACAAAAAGAAAATGAATCTAAAGTAAAAAAGCAATCTGGCTGAGTCAAAGTTGGTCAAATCACCACTAATAACAAATTTTTGTATGGTTCAGTCTCCGTTTACTATTTCCCAACAGAGGACGATGACGAGGACGGGCCAACGTTCAAAGACAAGGCACTCGAAGTGATCCTTAAAGGCATCGATGTGTTTTGTGTGTGGGACTGTTGCTGGGTTTGGTTGAAATTTCAGGAGTGGGTCTCTCTAATCGTCTTCGATCCGTTCGTCGAGCTCTTCATTACCCTGTGCATTGTGGTTAACACAATGTTTATGGCGATGGATCATCACGATATGAACAAGGAGATGGAACGTGTTCTCAAAAGTGGCAACTATGTTAGTATATTATCTTATATATATAAATTGAATATTAAGTGTTAAACATATATCATCTATAATTTCCAGTTCTTCACGGCCACCTTTGCCATTGAGGCCACCATGAAGCTAATGGCCATGAGCCCGAAATACTATTTCCAGGAGGGTTGGAACATCTTCGATTTCATTATCGTTGCCCTCTCACTTTTGGAGCTGGGTCTCGAGGGTGTCCAGGGTCTGTCCGTCTTGCGTTCTTTTCGATTGGTAAGCCTCCGTTCTGATAGGATCTCTTCTCAACATCTGCATCATTTAGCTTAGGAACTAAGTTTAGTTTTTAAGTTTTTTTGCTACTCTAATCTCTAACCCCAGCAGGTTTTTTGAACAAATTCGTGTATACTAATCGCGCTAATCGAAGCAATCGTAATTAACTCGTACTCGTGCTGGTATAAACCCCATTTTCCTTTCCTTTGCCCTGCCAATTTGCAGCTGCGTGTTTTCAAGCTGGCCAAATCCTGGCCAACGCTGAATTTGCTCATATCGATTATGGGCCGCACTGTCGGCGCCCTCGGCAATCTAACCTTCGTCCTGTGCATTATTATCTTCATATTCGCGGTCATGGGCATGCAGCTGTTTGGCAAGAACTACACAGGTACTTTAGGAGATGGCAATTGCCATACAAAAAAAAAAAAAAAAAAACCCTGAAACTCCTTCCCAAATCCCTCACCGAATCCCGCCATCGAATACCAAATGCCCTCGAATTCAAAAGCAAAGTTCTAGCGTGCAATGAAACTATTTTCTTAGTGCAACCTTTCTCAAACTTTTTGCCTTCAACTTTTTCTACTTACATATACGTTTTTTGACTCTATATATGCTCCTACTACATATATATCATATATATATATATAATAAATATATATAATTCTTAGCTATAGTCTTGAAAAAAAAACACACCTACGTAAGACCATAAGAATTCGCCTAATCCGAGAACTTGTTTAGAGAGCCACGCTTTGGGCACGGTTTTTGTATCCTTTAAGTTAACCACACACTTTCGTTTTATTTTTAGTCGATTTTTTAAAGATTCTGCTTTTGCTGCCAAATGAAAATTATAGCGGAAAATCTTGCCCGGATTTGTCCTAATTTTTTCTTCCCCTTAGAGAGATCATTAACGCATTTTAAGCGAATGTTACGTTTTAAGACACCTTTTATAGGCCCGGAAATAACATAGGCATAGCCTAAACCTAAGTAAGAATGAATTTAAACTGTAAATATATATTATATATTGCGAGTTAAGTTTTTTTAAGTATGAGGTTGTGTCGTGCACAGGGAATGATGATCGCAGTCCTGTGCACGAGCCATCGACATCGGTGGCATTAAATAATATTTCTTAATCTTTAATCTTTAGATCGATTGTTTTTTGGAATAATTCTATATAACCTAAATACGACTTTTTTCCACTATATTTTCCTAATGCTTTGCCCGGCTTTCAAATCAAATCAAATCAAATCAAATCGAATCGAATCCTAATAAACAACAATGCTCAATTAACCGATCGAATCGAATCAACTTCCCATATACCAATTGATAAATTAAACTGTGAATGATCCCCCCAAAAAAAAAAAAATCAAAATCAAATCGAATTCGTAAACTGCAGCTGCGTGTATTTAAATTGGCCAAATCTTGGCCAACACTTAATTTACTCATTTCGATTATGGGACGCACCATGGGCGCTTTGGGTAATCTGACATTTGTACTTTGCATTATCATCTTCATCTTTGCGGTGATGGGAATGCAACTTTTCGGAAAGAATTATCATGGTAAGTTCAAAGATCAATCGCATTCCTAACTTTCTCATTTACAAAAAAAAAGAACTATTACCTTGTTCGATATGTGTATGTAATGTGTGTGTTTTTGTGTTTCGTAATCGTGTCTATGTGTCATGGGAATCACACACTGTATCCCTCAAAAATATTTACCCTCTCTCACCCTGTGTCTGTATGTGTACGGCGTTGTTTGTGTTTCACCAAGCTCAGTTTTACACATTAAAAGGCATTCAATTAGATGGGGAAATATCTTCCATCTATTCGGATTCCATATCGTATCATGCTATCGTTTTTCTTTGTTATTGTTATACACTAAAATTAGTTATCGATAGTTTTTGCTGTCTGCTTAAATCATCCGTCCGATAATTCTATACCCAGAGAATAGTCGTTCTAAGGCGACTATAAGAATGGCTTTATGATTTACTTGGAGCTTGAGTCCTAAATTAGATCGAGAGTGTTCCAAGTGCCCGTGTTTTCCGTAAGTACTGGCCAGCCAGCGTAATGGCAACCACTAACTTTTCTCCTAGCTAATTTACTCCAAGCTCGACTATATGATTTTGTTCCTTCCTAAGCATTATGTACTATATGCGAAAGCAAACGCAACTTTAGCTACACACTTTCGTAGCTCTAGCCTGAAAAACAAAAACAAAAAACAAATTCATGATGTTGATGGTGATGAGCGGCGTGTGCGATACTTTTCGGTTATCTGTTCGTCTTTTCTTTTTGTACTGTACTGTGTACGATTTTTCTGGCATTTTACCTTATATGATGTACCTCACCGTTTTTTTGTGAGTGCCCGCTCTGCGCTGAACACTTTTTGCACACGCTTTTGTATGTGGCTTGACACCGAACCAAAAAAAAAAAAAAAAACAATAAAATAAAAACCAAAGATCTATGTCCAAAAATACTCCCAAAAAAATAAAAATAAAATAAAAATCAAAAATCTTTAAAATAACGCGTTAGTAACGAAAATCTTAATCCATTGCCAGATCACAAGGACCGATTCCCGGATGGCGATCTGCCGCGCTGGAACTTCACCGACTTTATGCACAGCTTTATGATCGTGTTCCGGGTGCTCTGCGGAGAATGGATTGAGTCCATGTGGGACTGCATGTACGTGGGCGATGTCTCGTGCATTCCCTTCTTCTTGGCCACCGTTGTCATCGGCAATCTTGTGGTGAGTAATCGATTTTTAATCGATTTTTGTAAACAATGCAAAGGCATTTCTTTTTTGATCATAGAAAAACCCTAATTGATGACTTTTTATTGCAGGTACTTAACCTTTTCTTAGCCTTGCTTTTGTCCAATTTTGGCTCATCTAGCTTATCAGCGCCGACTGCCGATAACGATACGAATAAAATAGCCGAGGCCTTCAATCGAATTGGCCGTTTTAAAAGTTGGGTTAAGCGTAATATTGCTGATTGTTTCAAGTTAATACGTAACAAATTGACAAATCAAATAAGTGATCAACCATCAGGTGAGAGGACCAACCAGATCAGTTGGATTTGGAGCGAAGGTTTTTATCCACTTGTTTTCCAATTACTAAACTACTTTTAATTATATGATACTCGTAATACTCGTATATTGCCAACGAATATAATTGCGTATACCGTTTAACGTTAACTTCAACTCACTATTGGCCAGTAATTGAATTGCGTAATCGATCTAAAACCAATATCAGTATCTAAATCAAATTAAAAACCAAAAACAAAACAAAAATTAATAACGAACCCAATTCGCATACTGTAAACAATTTAAAAAAAAAAAGAAATCCTTAAACAAAAAAAAACAATGTTCTTTAGCTGACAATTTTAGTTAGTTTCAAGTATACCTCTCCCCATAGACCTAGACCTTTTAACCTCGACCTCAGCCATTCCAAACCACTCACCAGAACATCTATGTATGTATCTCTATTTAAAAACCAAAAGGTCTCATCTTGGTATTTCATGTCGATCGAGAGATTGCTTCCATTATTTTGTTTGGTTTACGTTCGTTCGTATCCGGTTCCCGTTCGATTTGAGTCCAAGTGTGTTAAGTGTTGTTGTTCTTCAGCCGGTCACTGATCCTTTGTCCTTTGACCTCTGACCACCTCAGACTTCCTCTTGACCAAATGCTCGGCCAACCGCCAGCGATTGAGTCGCTCTGAGGAAACTGTGCCGTGCCGTGCCGAGCCATTTCTTCCGATCACATCATACCCAACAAACAACTAAAACAAATCGTAACCGTAACCGTAACCGTAACCGTCATAATATCTTTAGCATTACTTACTTACTTAGATAGTCTGTATTTAGCTGAACCGAAAAGTTAAACAGTATATCAGTATCAGTAAAACCAACTCGTAAACGTATTTTCCTTAGATACATATATATTATATATATTAATTCAAGTTTCTAAACATTTGTTTTAATAAAATAGTTTTGATCCTCGTCGTCAATACTGTTTGGCAATTGAATAATCTTTTATATCTTTTGGTTGAGTTCTTTGAATCTAGCTTAAAAGTTAGTAAAGCCTTGTTTTACCCACACCTACCTATATATATATATATATTATGTTATCTTGATTTCGGATTTAGGTTATTGGTTTTGGTTTTGGTTTTGGTTTCACAACAACCACCACTCTTCCCCCTAAACATCCTTGTACATTTGCATTTTCAATGATTCCTCGCTAGACTTTCTCGAGCGGAGATTGATTGGCCGAGCCGAACCAAAAACCAGATTGATTTCAAATCAAATTCCCCAAAATGGCAAATTAAATTATGTGTCTAGCTGTCTCATTATCGAATCGAAACGAATAAAAAAAAAAAGAAATATGCGAAAAAAAAAATAAGTATTAGTCTCACATTTGTAATATGGAAAATAATATGGAATTATATAAATTGAAAGTAAAACAGTGGATTTGATCCTTCATAGTGTTATGAACTTTTCTTACTCTCGTTAATCAAATCTTTTTATTTGTTCGATTTACTGTCTGTGTATTAGTAATATGTATGGATTTTAGTTTAAACCTTAGCAACTCGTATCATCCTTCATCCTTTAAGTTTCATTCACAAGCTGAGCGGTAGTAGTGGAGACAGCTTGTCTCCAACTGATATCGCCAGAAAGTGGAAACATTTTTTTGTTTTACTTTTTATGCGGCTCACCCACCCAGCTTATTAAATTATTCGATAAAAGTTACGCGTTCATTAGTTGGCAACAGTGTTGTTGGGCGTCTAGTTAGTCATCGCTGCGACTAACACACACTGATGTCGAGTAGTGAAAACACTTTTAGTTCAGTTTTCTTCAGCATCCATCCATTGATGCTGACTAGTGGAAACGCCGCCTTAGTTACATTTTGGTCACTAGTGTTTATTGAGTTTCATTGATCATTTTGCGATTTGTGTTGTTCGCTGTTGTGTTGTGAGCGTTCCACCTTCTCCGTACCTTCCCACAGACACACTAACTAACACACTCACCCATTCGACACCAAAATACGAAACATGATCAAACATGATCACAACCACCACCTCCACCAAACGAACCGCGGAGACGCTGATTAAATGTGTTTTTGTGTTCCTTTTGTGTGTCCTTATCGATTTAACGATTTGATCCCCAAATAATAAGAATTAACCGTAATATCTGTCTTCATTCTTTTCATTTTTAATGGCTTGTCATGATTTCCAAAAAAAAAAAAAAAAAAAACAAAAAAAAATCAAATTAAAAACGAAACCCAAAACTTGAATCGTATTGCATTGGCCGACGTAACGGACAACGCTTAAACCAAATCGAATCTCGACTCATCCCAAAATCGACTCAAATCAAATTGAAAAATTCAAATCGAAATCAAAATCAAAATCAAAATCGAAATCAACCAAAACGATCGACAAACAACCAACAACAAAAACAACAACAACTTTAATGCGAACGGCAACTGCTTGTATGAATTATGAATTCGTTTCGCTCTTTATGATTTCCCAACAATCGATAACCGATCAACAATCGTCATTGCCCATCCGTACAACTCAATATATAAATACATATATATCTATATATATATATATATCTTAATATATGTATATATATATATATATGTAAATATAAATGCCATACCTCTGTTACGTTACATATGTATATATCGAACCGATTATGTAAAAAAAAAAAAAAAAAAAAAACACTATCTATAAACATTATACGATCGAATATGGGATACGAAAGGCAAAGGCGTTTGTCGTTGTATATCTGCAGAGCATGGTGACAACGAACTGGAGCTGGGTCACGACGAGATCCTCGCCGATGGCCTGATCAAGAAGGGTATCAAGGAGCAGACGCAACTGGAGGTGGCCATCGGGGATGGCATGGAGTTCACGATACACGGCGACATGAAGAACAACAAGCCGAAGAAATCCAAATATCTTAATAACGCAACGGTAAATACAATCCATTCCATTCACCGCCGACGACGATCTCAAGCAATATCGCAATTTGAACTATATACTTGATGAACCCCGGACCTTGAGCTTGGGATTAGATATATTTTTTCTTTTGATTTTTTCTTCCAACCTCAAGCTCAAGTTTCTACAACATTCTCGTATTGTATTTGATTTGTGATAAACCTCAACCCGTACCTAACCCATTGAACTTATACTAACTATATATAATACTGCAACTACTACCGCTACTACTTCTACCAAAAAACAATACTTGGTTCTTATTATAAAATATTTTCTTAATGACAAGAAATTGATTTCCATTATTTCGTTTTCGTTTCTCTTTTTTGTTTATTGAATTTTCACTTGTTTTCTTTTCTCTTTTTTTTTACATATAACTGTCTATATATGTACCGTTATGTGTGTGTATTCCAACACCCAATCAATGAAAAAATATATCTACTTACTGATCACAAATCAACCAACAAACTGAAAACTGAAAACTGAGACACATGAACTGAAATCTCGCTAAAAAAAAAAAAACCAAAACAAAAAAAAACAAAAAATATACCAATATATATAAATATATATATGTATAACTATAACTATAACTATACAGATGATTGGCAACTCAATTAACCACCATGACAATAGACTGGAACACGAGCTAAACCATAGAGGTTTGTCCTTACAGGACGACGACACTGCCAGCATTAACTCATATGGTAGCCATAAGAATCGACCATTCAAGGATGAGAGCCACAAGGGCAGCGCCGAGACGATGGAGGGCGAAGAGAAACGCGATGCTAGCAAAGAGGATTTAGGTCTCGACGAGGAACTGGACGAGGAGGGCGAATGCGAGGAGGGCCCGCTCGACGGTGATATCATTATTCATGCACACGACGAGGATATACTCGATGAATATCCAGCTGATTGCTGCCCCGATTCGTACTATAAGAAATTTCCGATCTTAGCCGGTGACGATGACTCGCCGTTCTGGCAAGGATGGGGCAATTTACGACTGAAAACTTTTCAATTAATTGAAAATAAATATTTTGAAACAGCTGTTATCACTATGATTTTAATGAGTAGCTTAGCTTTGGTAAGTCAAAACTACAAAATTAAATTCAAATTCAATTTATTCAAAACCAAACAAACAAAAAACTAATAATAATAATAATAATAATAATAATTCAAAAGACTCTAATCGAGACTATCGAAAGTATTCTTTGCCATTTAGATTGTTGCAAATTTGTGTCATTTGCTTTTTTACATGCTAAAAACGCAAATCTTAGCTTGCAACAGATCAAATTTGTTTCCAAAAAAGATAATTCGAAAAAACAATAATAAGCAAAACAATTGAAAATGTAGTTAATCAAGCCATGCTTAAACTTTACCAAAGTTGATTGCTTCATTCAACCTAACCAACCTACCCCCTGCCCCCCGACCCATTTTATAAGTTCGATCCCCAGACTCTACCCAGTATAGCATAGTTTAGCGTAGTCAATTTTCAATTCGATCTGAGTTTTATGTTCAAAAAAAAAAATATAAAAAAAAATATACCCAAAGCCGATGGCAATGCTTGCTTTGCTTTTAAACTCAATACAAGACTTTCCATCGGTCTTTGATTGCCCATCCCTTTTACTTTTTTATATCTTAAAATGAGAGAAGATTATCATATCTTAGTAGTAAGGTTCGCCCCTTATGCCTAGGCACATTCCTGTCAAACGGCTTGTGTCTCCGCGTAAGGACGCCAACTTTAGTCAGCCAGGCATATCTGCTTGACTTGACTAGTGTTATTAGATCGTTTTAGTGTTAGCCCTAGAGTTTTTTTGTATAACTAGATATTTGATATAGAACTAGAATGTAGACGCTTTGTGCGTATCATTTCAAGAATTTTGTCTTCAATTTCTTTGAAAATTTTTCTTTAATTGCGTTTGACTTTAATTTGTCCGCCCAACAAGAAGATCAGAAAAACCAAAAAAAAACCAAAAAAGAAAACGCGAAGAAACAAAGGAAAAGCCGAGTGTTGTATAGCAATGCTTTAAGTACCATTTTGAATATTCATTAATGTTATATATAGCTTCTTATACTGCTTCTAGATAATTGTTATACTCGTACTCGTCTAATGTTACCTCATACTCATCTAACCACTCTATAACGTCAATGTAAATGTCCATGTGTTTCTTCTATGAATGCAACATCAACGAAACTACGTAACACTGGAACAGGCATTAGAAGATGTACATCTGCCACAAAGACCCATACTGCAGGATATTTTATACTATATGGACAGAATATTTACGGTTATATTCTTCTTGGAAATGTTAATCAAGTGGTTGGCGCTCGGCTTCAAAGTGTACTTCACCAACGCGTGGTGTTGGCTCGATTTCGTGATTGTCATGGTAAGTCAAACGGTTACCCAATTAGAACGCTCTCCCCGATATTCAGCTTTCGGACCAATCTATTTTTTGTTTGCCGAACTTTTATATTATTAAACGTTAAAAAACAAAACAAAAAATAACTAAACTAAACACCGAGCCTATCTCAAGACAGACCCTGGGACCGAAATAATTTGAATTTGAATTACTCTAACGACGAAGACGATTTAAGATGACTTTTCAGTTAAGCCTTTTAAACCCTGTCCCTATCCCCTGAGATCACTGTCTGCTGCTTTTAAGACAGTATGACAGTTCTTCTTGAGAGACCAGCTCGACCCCGAGATTGTATCTAAACTGTATATTGAGAAAACCATGTATGATAAACCTAACCAAAAAAAACCAACCAAAGTAAATATTTATATAGTTAACAACAGTAATGAAGTAAAAGTAAAAAATTTGTTTGGATAACCATAGGTTAGCTTAGTTAGTTATTCATAATAGCTTAGAACGATAAGTGGAATCCCCATATATATAGAGTTTAGATTCATATATATATTTAGACCCCTATAGATACATTATCTGTAGAGCTTATCCAACTTTGAGTTTCGTTTTGAGTTACCCGCCAAATCTAAATCGCCCAACTCTAGCTATCGCTAATTAACTTGGCCGCGGTCTGGTCTGGGGCCGATGATGTGCCCGCCTTTCGCTCGATGCGAACTCTGCGCGCCCTGCGACCTCTGCGGGCAGTTTCGCGCTGGGAGGGCATGAAAGTAAGTAGCGTCCACCACAGCCTTTCACTATCTCTCTCTCTCTCTATCTCCATCTCCTCCTCCTTTCTGTGTCTCTCTTTCGATCTTTGTCCTTCTAACTTCTCAGTCTTACTTCTAACTATAATATATGTTTCTCTCTGTGTAACTATGCCTCATTTCCCATTCTCTGTTGTCTCTATGTGTGTGCGAGTGAGTGTGTGTACGTGTGGTGTGTGTTGGTATGTGTACCAAAAAAAAAACTAACTAATACTATTTAATATATACATCCGTTAAATGTTGTTGCTTCACTAACAGACTAACTTCCAGTTTTCCGAGCGACTTCTATATCTTGCGAGCTCTTCAAATCTTCAATGCTAACCAAAAACAACTGTTATACTGCGTTAGGTATCATAATGCTCTGGCTCTTCAGCTGGTTGTACACGATGCAGCGGCTATATGAAATTAACACAAGTCTGCATAATGCATTGTTTGCAATCAACAACCTTTTCCAAACCAACAGTAATCGCAAGTTCGTTGGCAAAGCGCTTAAAAGTTTTCCTTCTCCCCCGCCCCACAAAAAAAAATGAAACTGTTATACACACACACACATACATTAAACACATATATGCGAGCAATAAGTTATCAAACAATCACTGTCTTTAAAATTTTGTGTTCTAAACATACATACATATATATTGATATCCAAGCCAATCATTGTGTGTATCTATGGGTGTACGTGGTTTTCTTTCGCTCAATATGTGTGTGTTATACGCTACTATCCGTCCAAGCCGAATCGCTCACATTGCGCCCAGGGCAGCGCCATGCTAAGTGTTATACCGGCCATCTCTGTACATTTCCTGCTGCCTGTTAATGTTGATGTAATTACTCCTACATATGTATGTCCCTATCTACCTAATATCTACCTAATATCTAAACATATATATTTAATTTATATATATATATATATCTATCAATGCCTCCCTAACTATCCATAAATGTAACGTAAAGTAAAAGATATATAGTAAAAGATATATAAATCAATTCAGCTGTACTGCGATGCTTTGTAGGCACTGCATTCCATTGCTGCCGTCGCGTGCTTCAGCTTAGTTGCTTACCTAAACTAAACAACTAGTGTAATCATACGTTTATAGTTAATACAAGTAACTTAGGACCATTGATCGAGACATACATATAGGTCAGTCATAGCTTTTAAATTGTACTATACATATATATATATATATTAATCGAAACCTGTACGTATTTTATCAAATTAGAGCTAAGAACAATACATGCAAACACAATTGGTGGTCAGCTAACGTAACTGTTATACCTATATTAGTGTATAACTTGTGTATAAGTAGTTTGGTTCAATAACTAGCCATAGCTTAGACTTTGATAGAGATACCTACCAACCACTCCCCTTATAAACCGAATATATCAACCCGTATACTCCCCAGTTGCCAAGTCCGAAACCTAGAAACCTAGATCGTTGTCTTAGACACAGAGATTAGTCATAGATCCAAACCCATCTCCAATGCCACAACGTCCAACATAAAGACAACGAATATGAACCGGAACTGGACCCCTTCCCCTAGCCACGACCCCCCTTAATTTAGCGGCACCAAAACTATATAACCAACTTGTATAGGTGTGTGTGTACATACTAAAAAAATGTATATCCCCCAATAACCGATGCAAGCGAACTTCGCCAAAAAATGAGCCACAACTGCACTGAATTGTACAAACAAGATAAAAAAAAAAAAAACGTATAACAGTTTGATATATAACTTTCACGACGATGAGTCGTTAGTGTATAGATATCGATATCGTTTACTCGTATATGTATATATACTGTATATTCAAACCACAAATATCAGTACAATATCAGAATAAACAGACGTCGAGCATTCGTTCGACAAATCGCTCATACGCAGTGGTGGCAGTGTTTTACTTACAACAAACGACGCTCCAATCGCGTCACGTCTTCTCACACCAAACTGATGTCGCTTGGTCTGGGCTAACTTAACTGAGCTCTTATATGTAACATATATATATATAACTATCTGTGGGCTATACGCCCATCCACCTCAAACCCCACCTTCACCCACAAACAAATCCAGTTCAGTTTATAAAAGGAACTGAGATATCCACAATAACCAATCGAGTCCGGCAGCAAAGTTTGAGCAAAAATGTGTCAACATAGAGACAGATCAAGACAGAAAAAACCAAAAGCCGAAAGCCATTTTCAATGAGAACCTAGTGATGAGGTCGCACGACTGCACAATGGACCCATCAAGGTTCCTGCATACGCCCCGAGACTAACATCTAAAAACATCCTTACCTTATTATCCTTAACCATTCGACATAATGTGAAGTTTTGTAAATATTAGTTAAATCTGTCAAATCATCTGGACATCCATCTAACTCGTCGTCTCGTTTTTGTCCACGGCGTATGCATGCCGAATTCGTCCATTGTGAAGTGTAGTGCGGCTGGTGGTGCAAAACGATCGTTGTAGGAAACTATCGATTTAGACAGAGCTAGTTTAGAACCCAAAGTCAGTCATCTCTCTCTCTCTCTCTCTCTTTCTCGAAAAACCTTCTATCTGTGGATGTTTTCGTCCTTCCCAAAGCCGCCTTTATATCAAGATAGGACCCTTTCGTATTCGTATTCTCCAACAACAAACACACACACACACAACTCTCGTCTCTTGTCAGTAATCGTAACCCTCTAGCCTTGGATTGAACCGAAACTACTTCCAAATACACATCGAAACCAATCCAAAAAAAAAAAACCCACAGTAATAATCTACATATTCTTTATATGCATATGTGTTAATCTGTTTTGTGTGTATGTGTCTACGTCTATAAGTGTTACCATCTATGTATTTGCCAGAAGACTTATATCTATCTATCTAACTATATATATATTTAACTATATATAATCGTAAAAACAAAAACAAAAACCAAACTCTATATAATGTATCAACTATCGTACTATACTAGGCTATTGTTTAAGAACATGTTTTTGTCTAAGTCAGAAGAGCGCATTGGTAATATGATGCAAGTAAGTTCTTTGAACCTATAGGACCACCTTTTCGTCCCGAACCGACCCACCCTCCCCCTTCTTGTCATGCCCCTTATTTTGTCGAGCAGCAGCTGCAACAACAACAATAACCATAACAACAACGGCGCGAATTTCAACTCTTTTTAAAGCTTCTTTTTGTTAGACCGACAGAGAACCAAAACAAAAAAAAACCTGATACTAAATGAGAAAAAAAAACCGAACAAAATACCGAAAAGAAAGATCCACACTTTTGCTTTATTTATACAAAGAATCTCTCTGTGTATGCAACTAAATATGTTAAACTTGGCACTATTCGAACTATATCGAAACTAGGTATCGCTTATCAACTTCGTTGCTTCACTTGTTGGAGCTGGTGGTATTCAAGCCTTCAAGACTATGCGAACGTTAAGAGCACTGAGACCACTACGTGCCATGTCCCGTATGCAGGGCATGAGGGTACGTACTTTCCATACATACTCGTAACAACCCAAATACCAAAAAAAAAAAAAAAACCAATACCAAATTCAAATTAAATCAAAACCAATTACCACTAAACAAAAAAAATACAAAACAAAACAAAACAAAACAACTTCATCAATCAGTATCAGTATCAGTATCAGTATCAATATCAGTATCAGTATCCGCATATCGTAAATCGTATAATCAATCCAGATAAATGCGCCAATATATCTTTCATCATAACTAATACTGGCAACTCTTTAACGCCGTAATACCCTCTCTCTACACCAGACATTCATTCAAAACTAACAGCAACCGATCCGAAAATGTGTATCTAGAGAAATTTGAATTGTAGCTTTATAGTTAACCCATTTTGGATTGATGGACTCATAAACATTATTATCTGCACATGTGCAGCAGTTGATTTGATTTGTTGCATCCGTAATTTGTAAAGCATAAATTATGAACATAAACCGTAATTGATTGACTGATTAGATGCTACTTACCCAAAACTACTTAAACTACTTACTCAAAATCTCTTTCTCATCGATCAGCCGAACAACACACTCCAAGTACTAGAGTTTAATCTTAGCTATCGTTAATCGTTATTCTTATATTTATACTTATACTTATGCCTATCGTTATAAATAATTAGAAAAAAAAAAACTGTTTTGCCTTGCCTTATCTCTCTCTCTCTCTCTCTCTCACACACACATAAAACACAAACACCCACAAAAGTTGCGTCTTGCTCGCTCTCTTTTTTCACTCTAGCTCGCTCGCTCCTTCTGTCTTTCTATCTCTCTTACTCTAAAATTGTCTTATTATATCCACATCTTATTGATTTATTGATTGTCCGCTCGACTCACTCTCTTAGAAACAATTGGCTAATTCAAAAAACATAACCAAACTAAGAAATTCGCTTAAACAGCTTCAATCGACGACAATTGGTCGAAACTATAACTATGCCTGAACCAGTTTTGTACTGTAGAAACCAATCGAACTTAAAGCTAGAACTATCATCGTCTTATGTACCTTAATACATAATCACTTTTGATTCCACTCGTACTTAACCAACCAACCCATCTCTCATTTAGTTCGCATTCGAAAAACGGAGTCTCACGTACTTAGTCTCTAGTTTAAGTTAAATTTTAGCTCAATTTTCGCCGTATGCCGTTATTAAACTATATATATACTATATACATTAATTGAATACTTCAAATTTGATCATGTGCTTGCGCTTGAACCGTTATGCTATTGCTGCCTGTTAAGCCTTAACCACGTTTATCCATGTTGTAGTGTTGTAAAGTTAACTGCTGCCTTGGCTTGGCTCAGTGTTAAGAAACGCACGCTGCCTGCAATTAGTATTAGTCAACACTAAGAAAATCTCCATTGCACATACACTTTCATCTTTCATTAAGCTCAATTAACATTAAGCTCTATAAATAAACGAAAACGACATCTAAACACAGCTATAACACTCAATCACAAAACAACCATGGACACACATGCTATTAACACACACATCTGTACATCACTCATGTATTTTATAAGTCTGATACTAACCCTGACTTAGTGTATACAAATATTTATATATATATTACTATATATTCCCAACTGACTAAATAACTCTCTGCATTTATTGTATTATATTCTATCCCCTCTTCCCCGACCTCGCCTCGCCTTGCCTCGCATCACCCATACACCCAACCAACCAACCAATCCATCGATAACTCAACTCCCAATCATCATCGACGTTGCCAACGACGACCAAATCAATCGATTAACGATCGATTGATCAATCAATCCACGAAATCTGAAATGAACGACTACAAAAAACCAAAAAAAAAAAATACCAAAACAAAAAAACAAATAAAACCAAACCAAATTCAGGTCGTCGTTAATGCGCTGGTACAAGCTATACCGTCCATCTTCAATGTGCTATTGGTGTGTCTAATATTTTGGCTAATTTTTGCCATAATGGGTGTACAGCTTTTTGCTGGAAAATATTTTAAGGTACGTGCCAAATGTTTCAAACTAAAAACCTGAACCAAAAAAAAACCAGAAACCAAGCCAAAAAAAAAAATACCAAAATAAAACTGAAACCGAAACATAATCAAACAGGCCAAAGATCTGAGGTTAAATGAATACAAGTCTACAGGCTTGTGCTCGTTTCGCCTCAAAATGGCTGAGAAATTAAGAAAAGCAAAACAAAGAAAAACCAATTCCGAGCAGCATTCCATAATTAGCAATGATCAATCGAATCTATTATTATATAAATCTTGAAAGAAATGCGTATCTTTGCATCTATTTTTCGTAAATAGTTGAGTTTCAAAAAGTTAACTTCAGAAGTATTCAGCTAAGGGTTTGTCCAAAAATAGAAGCAAGACAAACCCTTGCGGATAGTACATTAAATCAGAATTCATTCAAATGCAAGTCCTAAGCCAGAATCAGAATCAGAATCAGAATCAGAATTAGTATATCAGAATCAGAAACGAAAAATTGATATCGAAATGCATATCAAAATCGGAATCAAATGCAGAGACCGATTCAGCTTGGGCATGCTTATCGAACGTTATATAACTATACGAGTATGCGACCTTGCGAAAGTTGCTGCACTAAAACCGTTTCTTAGAACACTTCTTAGTACTAGCCTTAGTTTGTACTTTGCCTTTTGCACTGGAAAACTATAAAAAAAAAAAACAAAAATCAAAGAACAAGATAAGAACATAAATCTAATCCAATATATAATCTATAATAATCCAATTTCAAGCTGAGCTTTTTCAAATATATATCGTTTAGTAAAGAGGCCAAGCTAATTAGCTGCTCAAACACTAACACACCCACAGAGCCACTGACACTATTACAACTTAGTTAGCATCTTATATGTATAGCTGTTTCCTTATGTAATCTGCCCCGTCCATATATATATATATCTATTACTATATCTATCTGTATGTGAAATCCCGCATAATTGAAATACATTTTTCCGAAATCAACTCGATAAACAAAACCAAACCCATCGACGTCAACCACCGATGATCAACGATAAACGATAAATCAACAGTGCGAGGACATGAACGGCACGAAGCTCAGCCACGAGATCATACCAAATCGCAATGCCTGCGAGAGCGAGAACTACACGTGGGTGAATTCAGCAATGAATTTCGATCATGTAGGTAACGCGTATCTGTGCCTTTTCCAAGTGGCCACCTTCAAAGGCTGGATACAAATCATGAACGATGCTATCGATTCACGAGAGGTAATGTTCAACCCTTACAATCCATATATCACTCTTCCAAAACACCCACAGCATCAGACTGCATTTATGTTTGCCAATGCGCTTTGCCAACCACATGATAAAAAAAAAAAACACCAAAAAAAAAAACCAAAAACAAGTCCAAAAATCAATAATTTTTTAAACACGCAAAATAGAGCAGAAAGCCGCTATGACAAAGCTATGTTGCAAACGAATAGTTTAGTTAATCCATAACATATTGTAAATGTATAGAAATGTCTGTAATCTATACCTAAGTCCAGTCTCTGATACTTTTTATTAATCAAACAATTTTATCTATAACTTTTTCTCTTTTTTATATATGATCGACAAATCTACAACTACAACAACACTCAACACTACAACAAACAACAAATATGATCACACCACTCCAAAAATAAATACAACTCTGGCCACACCCACTCCACAACTACAACAACAACAACAACAACAACACGAGCAACACTAAAAATGATCCATTCACGAAAAAAAAAAAAAATACCCAAACGAAATGAAATGAAATGAAACCCGAAACTGAAACTGAAACCAATGATGCCATACTACAAAATTTCCCCGCAAAACACACAAAACAAAATTCAACAACGATTCCTGCTGCTATCGATCGATATCATCATCGAACTGGCCAAACAATCGATAACAGGTGGACAAGCAACCAATTCGTGAAACGAACATCTACATGTATTTATATTTCGTATTCTTCATCATATTTGGATCATTTTTCACACTCAATCTGTTCATTGGTGTTATCATTGATAATTTTAATGAGCAAAAGAAAAAAGCAGGTGGATCATTAGAAATGTTCATGACAGAAGATCAGAAAAAGTACTATAATGCTATGAAAAAGATGGGCTCTAAAAAACCATTAAAAGCCATTCCAAGACCAAGGGTAAGACAACAACAAAATACAACAACTAAAAAAAAAAGATAACAAACTAACATAACTTAAGATAATTGAATACTAACAATCAATTAATGAAAATCAATAATGAAAATAACAAGAAGCCTAAAATAATATAACAGAATATTAATGAGAAAGAAACCAATCTAACTGTTATAATTATAAACTTAAACAAAAAGAATAATAACAAAGCAAAGAGGGGACATCAAATCTTATACGTACTTGCAGAAATGCCAATCTATCCAAGTAATCTTTTCAAGTTCTCAAACTTTCAACTCGATTTCTATTCTATTGATGCCCCATAAGCGATATCAAACCAAAACTAACTGTAATATCGATAAATCAATAAAAAAAAAACATAACAAATCAAAGTCAGGACAATAATAGAAACAAGATTTTGACCGCGTAATCTGTGCCAATCGTATCCGTATTGTATATATAACATTTTGTATATATGATAAACTTTTTTCTATGTTAACTTGTAATCAAGAAACACCGGACTGTGCTATCAAATCAGACTGTTATACCGTTGGACTGTCAAACTGAAAGAGAAAACTATTTTTTTTTTTAGTTTTACAATTATGGCGTAATAATAGGCGACATTCGATTAGTATACAAACTGTTATACGGACTGAAACGTCGAACAAAATAACCCTTGAAATCCATTGAGTATATTTCTGTATCAAGCACATATGTATGTACGCGCGTATGTATGTATGTGAAAGGCCCTGTTCTCTAGCAATATTTTGTCAAGTTAATTGATGGATCTTTGAAAAAACAAGTAAAAACAACAAAAAGAAACAATAAATAAAAACGAAAAGAACAAGAAGATGAAGGCAGCGCACCAAGTCGAGTCTCTGGAATGGCTGCCGTGGTGCTAGAGAGTTAGACAGAGACGCCACTGTTGCCATTGAGCGACTCCTGTGTGCGACTGCGATTGCAAGTGCGACGTAGATATTATGGTCGCAATATACCGTTTTCTTTTCTACTCTAATAATACTTAATTTCCACTTAGCTGTATTTAAGTATTGTGTCCGTTTGGTTCGTCTGTACTTAAACATTTTTATGTCTGCCATTTATCAGCTGGACGTTCGTTCTATCAAATTTTAAATTCCAAAAAAAAAATTCCAAAAAAAAAAAGCAAAGCAAAACTACAATCTATATCTATATAATGTATATACCAAATCTATCTATGATACCCCACTCGCAACACTCCTAACTTAGATATGGCAACCAATGCATGTTTCTTTAATATTCTTGTACAACAACTACTACTCCTAATCTGGATGTGTACATAGCATACATCTTGGCACGTCTCTCTTTAATCTCTACTCTACTCTAGGCATGTTTAGTGATAGTCACAGAACGATAACCGTTAACCGATAACTTTAAACCGAAACTAAACTAAATCGATAGTAAACTGAAATTAGAAGTGCGAGGTCACTGCTAAAGTCTGGCATGTGTTGACGAAGAAAAAGAAACGAACTGACTGTATTGACTGACTGCACGTTTCCAACGCGAATGATCTCTATCTCTCTCTCTCTCTAAATATATATATATATATATTCATAGCTCTGTAAATGTATCCGTCTCTGTCTCGTGGTATGCCGCCAATGAATCGTGTAGTGCGCTCTGTTCCTTATAGCCTTAAAACCTTAATCGATGCAATGAATGAATGTTAAATAGCACACACTGAGTCACCGTTTAACATCTGTTACCCAACTGTTTTACTGTTATACGCCTACTCTGTACGTCTGCAGGTGCGCGGGAACGACGCTCCACAGAACCTCACATCATGGAAAAAAGTTTGCAATTGGCACAGATCTACAGAACTTTATGTAATATCTTTGACAAGAATCAACTTCGAAAACTCGAGAACAAACCAAACCAAAGCAAAGCAAAGCAAAGCAAAAACTAATATAAATCAATATATAAAAATACTACAAAGTAAATTTGAACTTAATAATTATATACATATAAAAGCGATCAACTGGGATGAAAACTCTTATCCTATATATACATATATATATAACTAATAAGCAAATGCGACGTATTTAACCAAATGTACTTATACAAAACTCTTCTATTCCTTTTCTCTCTTCTCTCCAATGTGTTTTGTCGGTGTGTCGTCGTCCATTCGACGTTTTGATTACCTTATTTTTTTTGTTTGTTCTTTTTGGATTTTTCATTTCGTTACCATATGATTTCTGATTTCCCATTTTTGTTTTCTAATTTTTAATCAATTCCAGTGGCGACCACAAGCAATAGTCTTTGAAATAGTAACCGATAAGAAATTCGATATAATCATTATGTTATTCATTGGTCTGAACATGTTCACCATGACACTCGATCGTTACGATGCGTCGGACACGTACAACGCGGTCCTAGACTATCTCAATGCGATATTCGTAGTTATTTTCAGTTCCGAATGTCTATTAAAAATATTCGCTTTACGATATCACTATTTTATTGAGCCATGGAATTTATTTGATGTAGTAGTTGTCATTTTATCCATCTTAGGTAAGTAAAACCAAAAATCAATTTCCAAATTAAACCCAAAAACCAAAACCACCAAAACCCAACCGCCAAACAAACCAAAAAAGCCAAAGTATATGCCATAGTATATACCCCACTTTTTGAGATCTATGATCCTCGAGTCGTAAACTCTTCCCTCTCTCTCCCCCACTCTATCTATATATATATATATCTATATATATATTTGATGTCAAATCCTGTCTGTCTCTGCAACAGTACGCTCCTCTGTCTTTAAGTATTGTACTTTCCAATTAATTGTTGCTAATTTGCTGTCATAATACTAGGTAATGCGTAATTCCATTGATCGATGTTGATTCGTATTAATATCTCCCATTTTCCCAGCAAAACAAATAAGCAATGTAATAATTACCCCCCTCCCAATTTGTTGTGTACAAAAAAAAAATAACCAAAAATGTTGTATCACGACTGCTCATACTGCGATGTGCTTCCAACTGTTATACTTGCATTTATAACGGAATCACAATCACTTTATGAGTAGCTCAATGTTGTTGTGCTTAACGTATTCCAAATTATGTTTTTGTTTTCGCTTTTGATGCGCTTGCCATTTGCATAGTTAGCTGAAGATCGGAAAAAAAACTGTTATACATCTGTTATACAGCTATACTTAGTTTATAATTCTCCCGAAATATCAGTCGATTGATTTCTAAACAGCTTCTTAAGTCGAGTTATAAAACTGTTATACCGAAAGTTTATCTTTGTTATACAATTATTCTGCTTACAATTTAAGTAATCATAATGAAATTCTCTTTAACTTTACCCCTTTCAAAATCAGTTCTAAAACTGTTATATTAATTTCTTAATATTTTGCCATAATTTTTGTATACAAACTCCCAGCTAAAACTGCAAATGCGCAATCGATCAATTAATGTGATAAATATCTTAATTGTTGTTGTTGTTATTGTCAAATTCTGTATGTATAAACTAAGTAAATCGATGTTTGAACTTTTGATTTTAGCCTAAGTTGAAAAGTAAACGTAATCCGTTGCAATATTGGTGTTGATTTAATTGTATTTTCCAAGTAATCGTTGTCGTTTGTAGCTGGCATTTAAATTTAATATTAACTTGATATATATATATATCTATATTTTTTTTACATTCTCAATTGGCAGATTTCAATTGAAGTTTGTCGCAAAAAAAAAAAATTTATACTTTAAATGGGCCCCAGACCACCATGCCCAAATATTTACCATTATTTTTCCTTTTCATTTTAAAATCAAACTACAATTAATAGCCCGACAAATTGCGCATACGTAAGCACAAAATATAAAACAAAAGAACGAACAAATGGAAGAGCTAATGCGAGACATTTCCCACTACTAATAGCAGGTCGAATTCTATATTGATATTCCTATCCAAGGAATTGGCTTTTGGATACAAGTAAAAAAAGAAAAAAAAAAACCGAGCACTATAAACTATACAAAAGATGGCTTAAAATATGCTTTACTACATTGACCAATGCAACAGAGAGCTTCCTTTTTAGTGCCCAAGTGCGTTGAAAAGGATGCTTTTCTGATCATTCTGTTGCTAACGAAGGTGTTACCCCGATTCGAAATGCGCCCAAAAAAATATTTTGTCTAGCGAAAAGGGTACCTTAAGCCCCAAACCTTAACCTCAACCTCAACCTCGACCTCTATCCAACTCCAAGCCAGAACCGAACCAAAACCAATAACCCAAAACAAAAGAAAAAAAAAACCGGAACCTAAACAAACCGATCGTATTGTGTTTCTTTCCCTATACATCTCTACAAGTTGTTGTTTTTTTTTCGTTTCACTTTTGAGATAACTATAGTTTTGTGTGCGAGAGAAGCTTCAAGTAAAACTTTACTATTTAAGAGCTGCAAAACTTAAATGTTGCTTACGCTTCCTTTATCCCATATGTATCTATATATATGTATATGTTTACTACTCGCCAGAGACTCACGCGCCCCAAAACTTGTTCTCAAGCGCACTTTCCAAGAACCAAAAACAAAAACCAAAAACCAAAAGAAACTTAAATGCTTTAAATTTTTTCGAACGCTCTAAAGTATGCTTCATTATTTGGCTTCGATGTTGCGACAGACGCAAAGTGATATCCTTATAGACGAATATATTAATACACGCTTAAGGCAAACGAAAACAATCCACAAAAAAAAAAAAAAAAAAAAAGAATAAAACAAACAGTAACGAGAACGACGACTGAGCTTTTGTAAATGCAAATTCTTAAAAATAACAACAAACAAAAAAATAACATAAATAACAATAAAAAAAAAAAATTAATAAAGAAAAGCAATCGCTAATACACTCTTATACACACACACACACACATATCTATACTCTTGAAACACGTTAAATGGCTTGCACAAAAAGAACGCATAACAAAATATTAAACGAAATGAAATGAAAGTTAAAATCAAGTTAAAACTCAATCACACAAGATTCATTCAGAGTTAGGTGTCAATGGGCATTCCACAAGCACTCCACTCTGTGCGATTGTCGGTTGCATAACTCTGTTAGCTAATGCATATGGTATCCAGATCGATAAACTCTATTCGGTTATCGCATTGAATCTTTCATTGCGGATTACCCAGTTATCAGAGCTCTGAGTGCTCTGAGGGCGGGGCCCCAGCCAGGACAACGGCCATGCGGACTGTCTTAGCGTGCAGATATCTGGCAAGGCCATTGAACTGGATAGGACCGGACCCAAAGGCAATCTCCAACCCAGCCCGAATCGTTACGAGCCCCGTTGATATAGTACATATATAGCCCATGCCGGAGGGTTCCGCCCAAAAATCAGGCCCAAAATCATGGCTAATTTTAAAAATTATTGAAAAATTTAATCGCTGGATAACCGTAGCAATAGCCTGAATCTTCTTAATGGTTTTGGTCCAATCTACGATGGAGATTATGTACTTTACTATGAACGTAGTAAAAAGCATATAACTTTATAGATTCTATAGACGAGTACCCCATCCAATGGTTCCCAAGCCATTTCCTAGTGCGGGACTTCAACCCTATATATTATAGTAAACCAACGCCCCCCCTTCCAGAAATACCCCCAAAATCTTTCTTTCTATAAACAACTCTTTCTTATCTAGCTATAAGAAGCTTTCACCTTACCACTCTAATTTTTGTGTTCTTTTTGACATGTTTTAATAATATAATACAAAAAAAAAAACCTTTTTCGAGATCGCTGTAATTTCGCTCTCTCAGATCAAAATTCTCAAAAGTCCTGCAAATAGTTCGTTCGACCACGCCCATGCACCCTTACCTACCTTAAACTCCTCTAACATTGCTAGAGCCATCAAACGAAAGAAACGAAAGAAAACAAAATTCGAACCAATGAACATTTTGAACTTCGCTGGGGCAACGAACGAACTTTGCAGTTTGTATAGTATTTGGCACATATAAAATATGCTGCGGATTATCGCTAAAAGAAAACGTAACAAAAACGCATTCAGAAAACAAAAACAAAACGAAAGAAAAGAAAATCGAATATATCGATAACGGTATATCCGGTATACTGCATTCCGGGCTTGAGAAAATGCTACTTTTGCTGTCGCTGCTTAAACCAACGCCAAAAGATCGCCTGCTCCTGCGCCAGCTGCTCGCAAAACAGCCAAAGGATATCGACTACCAAGCATTGCTGCTTACTTTGTTAACCGTTAACTGTTAACCGTTCAGCGTTTTACCGTTTAACTGTTCTTTTAGTTTTCTTAACTTCTAATTTTGATTTCAGTTTTTAGTTTTTTTTTCTCTCTAACTAACTTTCTCTCTCTCTCTATATATATATATATGTTTTTGGTTTTTGCGCAGCAAATTTCCTAATTTGATCTAGGCCAGCTGTAAAAATCGTTAAAAAAAAAAAGAACTTTGTGTTAAACTGTACCTGTACTGCTAATCCGTATATACCAGTAACCAGTAACTGTACTTTGACTGTATATGTTGTATATGTAATTGTAATTTTTAATGTAAAAGAATCCTTCGCTCCACGACAATTGACATTGCCCTTGATGCCTTATGATGCCCTATGATTTTCGTATTTTCGTTTGGCCTGTTTATGTTATGTGTCAACTGTACTTATGTGTAACTTTTGTTCAAACTGTACATATACATTTTGCGTTCCTTTATATATCCTTATCCTGTAACTGTAACTGTACGTGTGTGTGTGTGTGTGAAAAATGTTGACTGACGTTAGAGAAAACGAAGGAGCGGAGCGTACCGACAACTTAATGCTTTCCATATTTCAGCTATGTCAAGTGTTTATGTCTCGAGCTCTCCCAGAGCCTTAGAGTAGCCAGCAAAGAAAACCCAATCCAAAAACCCAATCCTCTCCCCCCCCCCGTATATAATTCCCATCCACGATATTCCCCATTATGATTCTGTGTATTATTCAAACTGATTTTTATATTCACAAACTCAATCCCCTCAATATCCGCTGCCAAATGTTCGCCGCAGGTCTCGTACTTAGCGATATTATCGAGAAGTACTTCGTGTCGCCGACCCTGCTCCGAGTGGTGCGTGTGGCGAAAGTGGGTCGTGTCCTTCGACTGGTCAAAGGTGCCAAGGGCATTAGGACACTGCTATTCGCCTTGGCTATGTCGCTGCCGGCCCTGTTCAACATCTGCCTGCTGCTGTTCCTGGTTATGTTCATCTTTGCCATTTTCGGCATGTCGTTCTTCATGCACGTTAAGGAGAAGAGCGGCATCAACGATGTCTACAATTTCAAGACCTTTGGCCAGAGCATGATCCTGCTCTTTCAGGTAAGAGGCCCAGCCACAATTCCGTTGACGGTTTATGTTGTCTATTGTTGTTGTCGTTGGGTGATGTTGCCACCACAGTGTGCTGAAATCTTAAATCAGAAATCTTACTTATATGAAACCGAAAATCAAATCAAAAAAAAGAAAAAACCCCAATCAACCATACCTCTCTGACCATCGATCGGCGACGCTCTATCGCTGGAGTTCGACGTCGATCGATGGCCGGAACGGACGTGTGGTGTCATTTTGTTGGTTCAGTCTTAGTGGCAACATCACAATGTTGATTGAAGCTGCGGTAGTTGTTGGTAAAAGCTAAATTAGTGCGATTTTTTGATTAACCTTCGATTTAATTTATCGATTTTGTTTAAATCTCTGTCTATCTGTCTGCCTATCGGTTTAACCATTTACTCTTTTTACGTTCTCTCTCTATCTCTCTGTCTCTATCTGTACAAAGTACGCCAACCAATCTAAACGATTCACTTAACCTTTTACTTTGCTATCAATGATATTTCGGGTGAAAAGGCCATAACTGATTTGGTCAATAACAACTGGATATGGCTTTAAATTTCATGATTTTGCGCTTGTTATTCTTTCAATCAATTTGTATCTAACGTATATGCTTCTCTGTATATGCATCATTTTTAGTAAATTGTACAAAAAACAAATCTAATTCAGCTCTTTCAACAAACACCAAATGAAATGTTAAGTTTCCTCAAGACACCCCCCTCCTGCCCAGAAAAAAACAATCAACCCCACCCCAGAAGTCTCGCCACCTTAAGCTATATCTGTATATCTATATGCAAAAAATACCAACAAAAAAGAAAAGAAAAGAAAAAAAAAAGTAAAGGCAAACCGAAAGATTAGATTCGATCCTAGGATCCAGGGAACACAATCCCCCATCCCTCTAGCTCTTTCTATTTCTATCTTTCCATCGCTCTCTATCTCTCTCTATCTCTCTCTCTCTCTCTCTACATATATATATATAAATATATATATCTATCTATTTCTACTATCTTTCTAATCGCAACTGCTTAAAACATCCTAATCTCTATCTATTATCCCTTTCATTGAGAGTCTACAGACTCTTCGAGCCAATATAAATGCTTGCCACGCTTACTTACGCTTTGAATCCCCTAGTTTTTTGGGACCTAGAGTTCCCCGCAACTCCCGCCCTCCATAGCCATATAGCCTCTGATCGCCCTTTTGACCAGGCCAAAAAGGGGACTTTTATGACTACTACTTATTACCCCCCGAAAATAAGCTTGCCTCCATTTACGGAGTTGATTCAAAGCAAAGCAGCCAATTAAACGTAACCGTAACGTAACCGCAAACCGCAAACCGTATACACACTCAATGTATAACTACTAACTATAGCCGTAACTGTACTACTAACCATCTACCGTATGCCATAACTAGTTTGCTTAGCCCAGCGATCCCGGTGCCGAACGTTTGACTAATGATGACTCTTCTTGTTATTGTATCTTCTGTCTTAAACTTCTCTCTCTCTCTCTCTCCCACCGCCCACATACGAACACTCCGAAAAAAAAAAAAAAAAAATATAAAAACACACCACGAACGAACGACCTGGCATGCATCGATAAATAACGATCTATAAATATCGATGCATCCGAACCATGCCCAACCGATCGCACAACTGCCAATCCAATGAACTTTTATCCGATATCGCTAATATTGCGACTACAAAATTATATCCTAAAACCCCCCAAATCCCCAAAAATTACAACGATCAATGATCCCATTATTCCGATCCTGTATCCGTGATCCCATTCCTAAAACCAATTTAAAAACTGGCAGATGTCGACATCAGCCGGTTGGGATGGTGTACTGGACGCCATTATCAATGAGGAAGCATGCGATCCACCCGACAACGACAAAGGCTATCCGGGCAATTGTGGTTCAGCGACCGTTGGAATAACGTTTCTCCTCTCATACCTAGTTATAAGCTTTTTGATAGTTATTAATATGTACATTGCTGTCATTCTCGAGAACTATAGTCAGGCCACCGAGGACGTGCAAGAGGGTCTAACCGACGATGACTACGATATGTACTACGAGATCTGGCAGCAGTTCGATCCGGAGGGCACCCAGTATATACGCTATGATCAGCTGTCCGAATTCCTGGACGTACTGGAGCCTCCGCTGCAGATCCATAAACCGAATAAGTACAAGATCATATCGATGGACATACCCATATGTCGCGGTGACCTCATGTACTGCGTCGATATTCTCGACGCCCTCACGAAAGACTTCTTTGCGCGGAAGGGCAATCCGATAGAGGAGACGGGCGAGATCGGTGAGATAGCGGCCCGACCAGATACGGAGGGCTATGAGCCCGTCTCATCAACGCTGTGGCGCCAGCGAGAGGAGTACTGTGCCCGGCTTATACAGCATGCCTGGCGTAAGCACAAGGCGCGCGGCGAGGGTGGCGGTGGGTCCTTCGAACCGGATACGGATCAGGGAGATGGCGGTGATCCGGATGCTGCGGACCCAGCGCCAGGCGATGAAACTGCGGATGGCGAGGCCCCTGCAGGAGGAGATGGTAGTGTTAACGGTACTGGAGGAAATGGAGAAGGTGCTGCCGATGCCGACGAGAGCAATGTAAATAGTCCGGGTGAGGATGCAGCGGCAGCAGCAGCAGCGGCGGCGGCGGGTACGACGGCGGGAACAACGGCTGGTAGTCCCGGAGCGGGCAGCGCCGGACGACAGACCGCCGTTCTCGTAGAGAGCGACGGGTTCGTGACGAAGAACGGCCACAAGGTGGTCATCCACTCCCGATCGCCGAGCATCACGTCGCGTACGGCGGATGTCTGAGCCAGGCCTCGCCCCCCCCTCCAAGATGCACGCGAGTATTAGCATGAGTACGTATTGGATGTTGCACGTTGCACGCTGCATGTCAGCACGTTAGCAACGGGCAACAACAAGTGAGCTAGCTAACAACAACAGCAACATGGCGAACAACAAGCATAATTTTCTGCTATATAATGAAAAACTACACCATACAAACAAAACAACAACAACAACAACAACCAACAACAACAGCAGCAACAATAACAAAACAAAAAAACACAATAAAAATCAGAAGAAGAAATCAACATACAACCGATGATTATAACGAAGAAGAACCAACAACAACAACAACACCAGTGTAATGTCCTTGAGTTACATATTTGTAAACCCGCATTATTCAGTTAACGAGTCAGCAACCAACAACAATCATACTTAAGCTAAACCGAAATGTCGAAATAATTTGTAAGCAGTTCGTAGTCCAAACCATTTTAGGCGTTTTTCCAACCAACTATTTGCCTAAGCAGGTGGAAGAAGAAAGTGAAGAAAGTGAAAGAACCATTAATACACCACACTAAAACACCAATACACACACACATATACAGTCAAACATCTACATGACCATAACAACAATTATAATCCCAACAAAAACAAAACAAAAAACCAAACAAAAAACCAAACACAGATAACAAAAACTTAAAGATCGATGAACAAGCTCTAAAAATTGTATTTGCCAGTAGTAGTGGGACAACAAACAACACGCTTGATTTTAATTAAACAAACTTACCAAATTACCTAAAAGAAATACCCAAAATAAAAATAAAAAAATAAACAAAAGAACGAGCAAATAACGGTAAAGGGTAAGCAGAAGCAGAAGCCACAAACAAACAGAACAAACAAACAAACAAAATCCCCCGTAAAGCAACATTCAAAAACTAAACAGATGAACCTTTTTCAACTTATTCTAAAACCGAGACGAGAACACCAATTTGCATAGTTTGTATTGTACATTTATCCAGCTAAATAATGCAAAAGTAAAAAAAAAAACATGAAAACCAAAGGGAGTAAATCAAAAGCGGGCCCAAGAACAACTAACTAAAGCAACACCAATAACAACAACAACAAAAAGAAATACCGCCTGAACTGCCATTGAAAGCAATACGAACCAAAAAAAAAAAACAAAACAAAAAACAAAAAGAAAACAAGAACAAAGCTAAACCAAAAACGAAAGAGATACAAAGTATAATCACACACAACAGTCCATACACCCGCACACACTCACACAGACAAACACACACACACACTAACAGAAGGAGGGAAAAAAAGGTCACCAAGAAACGAGAGTAATAGGCAGACAGAGTAATTTCACATTCACATACAATCGTACTAACTAACGGGCATTCCCTTTGCAGTTTCGTTTATGGCGATAACACATCCCATTGGGCCAGCAACAGAAAGTTCAAAGCAAACATTTCAACCATATAGGGATCGGATTTGTTGAGACCATATTCTCATTTTGAGGTTATGAACCACCATTTGAGGTTATGTTCTCACTTTCAGGTTATGCCCTCGCACACACACTCACACACACACTGAAACATCCTAACACCTTAACTACATTTTAACAGCAACACAAAGCGACGACAGTACCAAACAAATCCTTGGAGTTGGGGCGCATGGAGCCGAAGGAAGTGAGACGCAGACGAGTGAAACCTTTAATAAACAAGATCTTAGCAATTCAAATTCGAATTCGATCAGTTAAAAACAAAAACAAAAAACAATAAACGATGAACGATGTACGAAGAGAAAGCGGAGTAAGTGTATAAGCCCAAAAAAAAAAAATCGAACAATACCAAGAATGTGAAGTGAAAGAGAAGAACCAGTACCGAAACAAGTTCAAAGCAAGGCAAAGCGAAGTGCTAAAAAAGAAAACGCGAAACAAAATACGAAAATGAAAAAACGAAAAAGAAAATAGCAGAAGAGCAGTTTGTGCCTAGCACAATATAAAAAACTAAAGCAACTAGAGAAACGAAAACGTGTGAGTGAACAATTTGAACGTGTTTTTGTTTTCAAAGTGTGCTCTATTTTCACATACTTACCTTCTTTTTGATGATCTTAACCTACAAGTAGAAATCGAGCAAGGATCGAGTTTAACGCGAAAATTACACAATGAGCAAGGAGAGTAAATACGAAACGAATATATATTACACGTAATTATAACATAAATAATTTAAACTTAAATACGATATTGATACTGAATTTTGAATTCAAACAAAGTTTTAGTCCGACCGACCGCTTGAGAGCGTAGCATACTTTTCAGCGCCAGACGCCTTTCGCATTCGCTTTCCTTTTCGTATCCGCCGCAGCCGCGTTATAACAATGGACAAGGAGATATGAGAAAACCGATAAACGATAACCAATTCAATACCAAAAAAAAAAAAAAAAAAAAACAAAAACGAAAAACCAAAAAACTTATAGTATTCCGCTCAGTTGCGCCCAATTTTGCCAAGCTAAGCTTTGTTTGAATCAGCTTTTGATCTGCAATTTGATTTCTTTGGTTTCTCTGTCGTTTCATTTACTAGCAATGCCTTTTTCGCCGCTGTTCAGTTATGTATCGACCGATACCGATTACCGATTACCGATTACGATAACGTTCAATGAAGTTCCATTGAATTAGCTCCCACTGCACTGATAGTTGCGGAGCACTTCGAGACTCGAGTGACGCAGCAACAAAGAAAAATTATATGTGAGGTTCCATTGCGCACACACACACACACACACATACATACACAGTACAGTACACTCTCGCCACAGTCACTCGAAAAAAAAAACATAAGACATATATAGAAACTCAGAAACACATGTAAATGCTTTGCTTTTGCTTCGAAATTGCTGCAATCGTAGTAGGAGGTGAATGAAAAACGAATACTTTGGGATCAATGCGCTTTTTGGTTTTTGACAATAACAATTACCAACTCACACCACCCACTGACACTTACGTCCACAAGAAAACATCCACAGAGACAGACATGGACATTGAAAATATGTTTGTACCTTCTTTCAGTGACGATCCTCTGACTCGCTGACTTGCTCTCACTTGATCTCCAACAACAGTTAAAACGAAACATGCTTTCATCACAGAGAGACACATACACACACACCCACACACACACACACACTGCCTGACTTCTAACTATCTGTTAAATCAAATACAAATGCGGAACTTGTTCTAAGCACATCCACATCTACCCACTAAAAGTATAAAGAAAAAACAGCATCGTACAAAATTAATCAGCATTGGGAATTGACAAATTCATCCTAGGCCAACCAAACTGCAAACCATTTTGATTTGCCAACCCTTTCGGCATAAATCCGTTTCATTTAGTTTCCCAAAAAGTGTCTTTTTCTTAGTAGATCACAGTTGGTCTTTTGGAAATGGCCAGATTTGAGTCCTGTCTTGGCTAAGAGTTTTTGAAACTGTTTTTTTATGGCAACTGTATAACAGTTATATACATCTTGTAGATCAATTTCAAGGTTTGTACTGCACAGTACAACGTATAATAGATTTATAACAGTTTTTTTTAAGTTGTCCAAAAAAAAAAACAGTTTTCTTTACTGCTAGACAAGACAGCAGGACACCTATCATGGCCACTTCGCACCGATCAACTGCCTCAACCATTTGCAATAGTTTCCCAATACTAGACCGACCGTTCCGATTTCACCATCTCAAGGCGTTCAAAACACTATATCCTATCCTAGCCGAACACAAAAATGTAACGCAAACAACAAAAATTGTAGAGTAATTAACTTGTGTACATTATGGGGACCAGTTTAAGCGTTGCCTTAAAGTCCAAACAAATTTTACGTGTTTCATTTGTTTTGCGCACGCTTTAACAAGAGCTTTGTCCAATGATCAGATAGCCCCAGTTTATGTTTTATGCTGAAGAAGAGGGAAGTTCGGGGGTTTCACATCTTGACATCTGTGTGAGCGCCCCTTAACACTAAACCCCCTTTGGAGACGCAACGCAAAACCCGACCCGAACAGACTGCAATATATGGTTCGCCTTTAAAATCATCGTATTACCTATTTGTATTTACCCACCACCACCCACCATTGATTTAACGCTTGCCAATTGCCAATTTTGTAACGACTTGAATGTAGCTTCATTATTATACATTTTGTTGGCTGTTTGACAAATAATACGAATACCCACTTTAATAAATAATAGAACACATGGAAATAAATGAATGCAAAAACCATAAATCGCTTAGTCGAGAATAATAATACAAATGAATAATAATAATAATAATAATAATAATGAAAAACGAAACATGCTATAAACTAATAACAGAAAATTAAGTTTGAAAATTCCGTACAAAAATGCATAAGTTTAAACGAAAAAAAAGAAGCATATAATATTGAGAAAAAAAAGCTAAACGAAATAATATATCTACTTATACTGAGTGCACTGTTATAAACGAGGGGCGGGGCGAGATTAAATAAACAACAACAACAACAACAACAAACAAAAAACGAATCAAACGAAAAATGAAAAATGAGAAAGAAAAACAAAGAAACCTATATATTATAACGGTATATAATATATATACTTCAAGATATTGTACTATCTATGTGTGAATATAACATCATCTGCAAGAAACAACAGCCACACATGAAGCTTAAGCGACAAGCAAAAACAAAAACAAAACCAAAAAAAGAAAGAAAGAAAGAAAGAACAGAGACAACTTGAAAGCAAACAAGAAGTCGACTCGAAGCGATACTCTATCTATAATAACCATGTAAATTTACAATAATAAAAAAGCCGATTGAGGGATATGAATTTTAGCAAGCGGTAAATTCAAGCTAAGCCGAACCGAAACGCAAATCGAAATCGAAAAGTTGAACAAAACCAAAAAACAAAAAAAGATGTTAGGAAGAAAAAGAAAGGACAGGCGTCGAGGAAGGATGATAAATGATATTGATAAGGAAATCTATTTCATATTTTTAGCATACGTGTAAACATATTTTTTGTGCCGAGGTTACGTTCGAAGCAACACGCGCATCATTGCCATTAGACAAAATAAAATTAATTATATATACAATATGCCTAAAAATAATACGGTTAAAACAAAAGCAAAAACAAAAAATAAAACTATAACTAATTATTATAAAAGAAAACAAACAAACAAAAAAAAAAAACAAACCAACAACTGCATATTTTGTGCTGCTGAAGAAAGTCACAACGCAACAAAAAACATGATAACAATAAAACATATATAAATTTCTAACAATTTTAGAGCAATAAAACTACATACACACACACACACACAAAAAAAACACAACACAACACACACTCTCACCACAGAAAGTTTGCCGATTTATTTGCACCGCCACTGTAGCCCGGCAGAGACCGTCGCCCACAGTGGCGTCGAAAAGTTTGCAACCAAACAAGCAGAGCCAGCATTCTTAACATTCTTAAAATACGAAAAGAAAAAAGAAAATAAGAAACAAAAACAAAAGCAAGAAGGAATGTGGCGCAGGAGCAGTTACAAAAAAAAACGATAAGAACATTTTTTTTAGATACACTTCAAAAATCAAAGCGTGGAAATTTCTATATTAGTTAATAATAAAATCCTTTTTTGTTAACTCACTATATAAAAGAAGAAGAAAAAAAAAACAAAAAACAAAAAATGAAAACAAAGATGGACAAAAACTTTAGCTTTATACTCGTACATTTGTAATATATTACATAAGTCTAGATAATTACATAAAAGGAAAACAAAAGGCAAAAATAGAAAATATATTATAAATTATAATTATACAAAAGTAAAACCAAAAAATTTTACAAATAAAAAAAAAACGCAAAACCAAAAAAAAACAAACAAACAAACAAAACCAAATCAAACGAAGCATAGCAAATGAAATTCAAAGTAAATTCATAAATAGCGTACAAAAATCTAAAAACAAACCAAAAAAAAAAAAACAAACAAAGAAAACCAAAAACGAACTGTAAAAAAAAGAAGAAAGAAAACCAAACATTTAAATGTAAAACAGCCAGTTATTATGCATAGCTAATAAAAACCAGAAAAATTCAAATACAGAGCAGGAGCCAGAGCCGGTGGAGACGAAACCAAGAAGAAATAAGAACAATTATTGCAATTAGATATTCTACATAAAAAATTCGAAATCCTTAGTAAAAAACAAAAAACATAGGTTGCCTACAACAACAACCATACAAACATGAACACACACACACACACTCATTACATGTACACATACACACCCATACATACGCATTCCCGTATGACTAATATTTTGATTAACATTAAACCTTGTTCCTTAGTTCGATTGCTATCAGTTGCCAATCCATTCACAATCAGCCACACAGACAGACGCCAGCCAGTAAGGAGCCACGCGCAGACACAGTGACAGAATCCGCGAAAGGAATCACCAACCAACCAAGCCAAGCAGCAGAGATTTAGATACAAAACCTATAAGATACAGATACTCGAATCAAATCCAATCCAAATCCAAATCCCAATACCAAATCCAATGCAGACCGAACACGAGAACAAAACAACACACAATTACGAAAGTTGCCATCCAGCGAAGTATTTGCAATTTATATTGAGAGCAAGAGTTAATAGCCGTTTATATATATATGAAAGCCCGTTGAACACGAAAAGAATTATAAACGATAAATGATAAATGAAAAAAAAATGGAAAAAAACCAAAAACAGACTGAAGAAAATGAGAATTATTTAACAAGAAAATTTATATATATAATGATAGCCAATAGAGACAAGTGCATCTAAGCTATATGAACAGAGTCACAAATCGCCAAGCTGCTTTTACATGCATCCAGAGCTGAGCCCCATCCACTCACTCACACACATACAGACACAGGAAAACAAACACCCACCCACCCTCACACACACGCACACACACACAAACACACTGGAGATGGATTAGCTCATGAAAAGATTGAGATATGAGGTAAATATGTATTTATATTTATACACCAGCAAGCTAGCAAACAAAAAAAATGGATACATGATACTAAAGAAGCATTATTTAAATATACATATTAAAGGAAGTCTTAAACTAAAGCAACAGCAAAAACTGACAAAAGAACAAAAATGAAATAAATTAAATATAAAAACAAATTAGCGAGAGATTACAGAAAACAAAAAAGACGTTTGCGATGAGACACAGGCACCGTTAGCATATTTTTTTTATACAAATACAATTTTAAGCAAACGAATACGAAAATCAACAAATTGAAGTAATTTATTAGTGAGAAACCGAAGCAACTGATGATGTCTTTGTAAAGACTTTATATATGCCTGCCATATGCCTACATCTGCCTAGCTGTCTGACTCTAACACAAAGAAATGGAAACACTAACACCAAACACCAAACACTTTCTCCCTCCACCAACTCCTACGCTCTCTCTCTCTCTCTCTCTCTCTCGCTTGTGCAGACACGACACAGACTGACAGACCTCTTGAGTAAATTCATTCATCAAACACGAACTAGGGCTGAGCTGCCTTCAATGAGAATCGCGGAGAGAGGCGCACTTGACCGAAGACTGGATGCAGCGGTTCAGCGGTTCCAGCAGCCTACAAAATGGTTCAGGCTTCTTCTTGTCTTTGTAAGCATTTTTTCTTATTTTTAACTCATCTTTGATTTCTTAGCTAGTTTAGCCCCTAAATACCCCCGTTCCCAGAGCCGTTGTCGAGCAACTCTATTTGATAGCAACTTCCCCGGCTACAAATTCTTAGTGGTTCAGATGGCTGTAGGACAACCAGACACAGACATCCATACATACATACATACAAACACGACCACACAGACACAGAGATTCTCCCCTTAAAAAGATGATAAAGATATATATACATATGAATATATGTATGTATAAATTATATATGTGCGATCAAGTAAAAGCAGCTAAAAAAAAAACAAAAAAAAACGAATTAAGAAATGCTAAAAAATTATGACACCCGCCACTTTTCTACTAAAAAGAAATCGACTGTATATATATATACAAAAATATATATATGTATATGAGCATATAATATGAGTATATTTATGTAGCAGTATAACAGTATGTGTAGAGTATAACACTTTGTCCATTTGCTTGACAAACTGACACATACAGTCACAGGATCAACACTCACATCACATACCCAGACAGGCACACGATCTGCATTTTGTTTTCTAGTTTTCTTTTTTTTTTTTTAAAGAACATAAACACGTATTAGCGATACTCTTGATAAATAAATCTTGCAAAATAATATATAATAGGGCCATCGCTGTCATATGCATTGTGTAATGTTTTCGCCGGCACAACCGAAGCCAGCCTCTTGTTATCAACTTTTTTTCTATAGAATACGTGTATTTACCAACCACAGATAATCCATTAAGTTTTGCCCAAAAACAAAAACAAAAAACACACACACACACATATTAATATAAATATACCTGCATATATATTTTTTTTATAACAAAGTATGGGAAATCTATATGGGACAAATGAAACACAACAACAATTTTTGTATGTATTCATTTTTATTAAAAACAAAAAACGGGAAAAACAAAGGGAAAATACAAAACCGAAAACCGAAAACCGAAAACCAAGACAAAGACACACTCGTAAAACACACTGACAGACAAAAATTGTTTTTATAAAGATATATTCGATTAATATATTTAAATAAACTAAAGACAAACAACAACAAAAAACGAAAAGAAACAAACGCCTGAATTAGTTTATTACGCAAAAGAAAAGAATTATAATATTAGTTAATTCAAAATAAAATAAAAAAAAAAAAAAAAAAAACAAACCATACCCAAGAAAAAAAAAGGAAAACCAAAACTGCACAATAACATCTAAATGTAAAAAATATGAACTAAAAAAAACATAAACAAAGCAAATGCTAAGGAAAAAGCCCAAAGAAACAGAGATGAAAAGTAAATAATTTTTATTTTCATTATATATAAATAATTAATGCTTTTTTAGTTCTCAAACAAGTTGCATATTTTATGTATAATTTATAATGAAAGGACAAAACAATTTATAATAAAGCAAACCAGAAAATAAATCAAATTAATAAATGGGCAACCTAAAAACATTGTAATGTAATAAAAGAAAACAAAAACAATACAGAAAAAAAGGATATATATATATATATAAATTAAAAGCGAAATTTTTTCACACTTTAGCTTAATAAATTGTAAAAAAAAATACAAAAAAAAACAAACAAACAAAACTGAAATAAAATGAGATTTAATTGAATTTGTTATGCAAATGAAAATCGATTTGTGTCTTCTTGGTATTTGGAAATATCGGGCTAACAACATCTCCTACATCCATTTTGGGAGTTCAGTTACCAGGCGAACAGAAACCGCAAGCCATCTTTAAGCATACATCAAACAACCTAATCAGCTGGTCAGTTTACACTTGCTGAATGCTTCTCTTCGCCTGGTAAAATCGGGAAATCTGTGCATTCAGCTGAACGTATTTTTTCGTTTTTTTTTTTAAGTTTTTTAGCTCTAGCTCGGTCAAAACAAGACGCACAGCCAAAAGAATGACTGTTTCGTGATGTTAACGACCAACACTAACCACCCCTATCACCCGTTTTTCGATTTTGGGAAAGTCAATTTTGGCCCAAATTTCGCATTTTTGATAAGGGGTACCATCATCAAAATTTTCAAAAATGGGCCAAAAATGAAGTTTCCCAGATTTGAATGCAAACCAATTGGGAATCTTGGCAATCAAGTTAGGAGGCCTACGAGGTATTACATTTACCATTTGGACCATTTTTGGCTGTGCTATAGCAACAAAACTAATTTTTTTCCGCCCAAAATCAAGTATACGTCTTTTAGCAGCAGAAATTCCGGTTTTGTTGCAGTCTCTTAGCTCTAACTTTGTTAATGCAAGACGCACGGCTAAGCCAATGACTGTTTTATGCAGCTAACAACCGAAACTTAACACCCCTTCACTTGCTTTTATCATAATTGTTCTGATATTTGGGTGCGAGCTCTGTTTTAAGGGCTAAAAAATCAGGAAACCGATTTCTAACAGAAATTTGCAATACTATGCTCGGTTTTTTAGCTCTAGCTCGGCTCAAACGAGACGCACAGCCGAAAGAACGACTGTTTTATGCTGCTAACGACCAACACTAACAACCCCTATCACTCGTTTTTCGATATACCTAAATAAAAGTTGAAAACTTTTTACATGCG